ACTTGGAAATGGATTTGTTAGCGACTTCGGTCTGGCCATCAGTTTCTGGGTGGTATGCAGTAGAGAGATCAACTCGAACCCGTAGTACTTCGCAGACGGATTTCCAAAAGTCTGAGAGGAATAAGGAACCCCGGTCAGAGACGATAGTGTCTGGTAGTCCATGAAGCTTCCAGACGTCTCGCACGAATAAGCGAGCCAGCTCGGCTGCATTCATATCCTTGTTGCATGGTGTAATGTGGCAATCCTTAGTGAGCCTATCTGTAACGACCATAATCTGGTCAAATCCATCGACCAACAGAATAGGGCCCATAAAGTCGACTGATAAGTCTCTCCATCTTTGAAGCGGTATTGGGAGTGATTTTAAAGTGCCCTGGTATCGTAGCTGGGAGTACTTGTTCCGAAGACAGTTTGTACAGGCTCTACAAAATTGGGTGATATCGCGGTAAAGTTTCGGCCACCAATAATGTCTACACATGAGCTCGAATAGTTTGTTCTTGCCTGGGTGACCGCTCTCGACCGAGTCGTGGGCTCTTTGGAGAAGCCATACTCGTAGTTCTGTATCTGGGACATATAGCCTGTCCCGAAAGTATAGCCTGCCGTCGTCGATCCGACACTCGGACAATGCGACTTCTTTGGAGTGTGGTGTGCGGTCTTCTCTGTTCATTTCCTTAGAAGTCTTCTTCCAGAAAGGGTCTTCCTTGTACCCCTCCTCTAACATCCTAGTCAAGATATGGTCGTCGGATTCAGTTCCCTGCTCGTCTGGTTCTGGTTCTGGTTCCTCTTGTTCAGTGGGTCGTTCTTCCTCGTTTAGAGGTGCTAAGCGAATGGCAGGGTCTAAATTTTGAGGTTTGAGAAGTGACTGTTGTTGGTATATAATCCGAGGGTCGTCGTCTCGGCTCGGGAGGTCTTGGGATCGACGAGTAAGTGAGTCGGACTTGGTGTTCTTCTTACCAGGTACAGGTTTAATAACAAAGTCGAATTCAGAGAGAAACTCGCTCCACCGGACTTGACGGCGGGTCAGTTGCTTAGTAGTCATAAAGTACTTCAAGTTGGAGTGATCAGTGATTACTGACACAGGGTACGCGGTTCCCACAAGTTCGGAGCGCCAGGACTCGAAGGAACGTACTATGGCAAGTAGTTCCTTGTCATAGATTTCGTAATTGCATTCCGCGGGGTCGAGGACTTTTGACATAAAGGCAACAGGGTAGAGAACTCCATCGTGGTATTGGGACAAGATGCCGGCCGAGACGTAGTCGGAGGAGTCACATTCGACAATGACTTCCTTCTCTGGGTCGAAGTGCTTAAGTGTTGGTGCAGAAGTGAATGCTTGCTTAAGTGCTTGAAACGATTTATCACAAGTCGAGGTCCATTCCCACCTTACGCCTCTCTTAGATAGTAAATTCAATGGTTTAACTAACCTCGAGAAATCCTTAACAAAGCGCCGGTAGAAGTTCGAGAAGCCAAGGAACGCCTGGAGGTCTTTGAGGTGAGCTGGCCTAGACCAGTTCGTGATAGCCGAGGTCTTCTCAGGGTCCATTCTCACTCCATCCGTTGATATAATCATGCCTAGATAGGTGACTTCCTGGACTTCGAACTGGCACTTCTTAATGTCCAGCTGGAAGCCGGCTTTTTCGAGAGCCTCGAACACTTGTTCGACCTGCTTACGATGCGAGGTCAAGTCGTCTGAATAGATGAGTATATCGTCTATGTAGGCAGTGCAAAAGATATCCAGGAACGGGCGGAGTACTTCGTTAATCCGGGCTTGCCAGGTTGCTGGAGCGTTCGTAAGGCCAAATGGCATGACTAGAGATTCGAAGAGGCCGTAGCGAGTATTGAAAGCTGTTAGCCATTCGTCCCCCTCCTTAATTCGTATGTGGTTAAATGCTGCAATGACATCGACTTTGGTGAAGTACCTTGCTTTGCTGAGTCGTTGGAGTGTCTCTTGGATTCGGGGTATCGGATACCGGTTTTTGATCGTAATATCGTTTAGTGCTCGGTAATCCACGCAAAAGCGTAGTCCTCCACCAGGCTTCTTTGCGAAAAGTACTGGGGAGGCAGCCGGGGATTTACTTGCTCGAATAAACCCCTTCTTCAGCTGTTCGTCGAGGTACTTACGTAAGACCTCTAACTCTGGGATAGACATATTATATAGAGGTCCATGGGGAGGAGATGAACCAGGCTTCAATTCAATCTTCAGGTCGCAGTCTCGATGTGGGGGTAGCGTATCAGCTTTCTGACGGTTAAATAACCGAGATGACCACTTCTTCAAGTGTGGAGGGAGCAAAGTCTCAGGATCAACGTGCTCTCCAGGGTTGTTGTACTTTGCGAGTGCCTTCTGGATGTCGTCTAGAGAGGCCCCGCAGAGGTAGAGTTCAGCAGCCATTTGGCGAGAATCGGTGGTTTTGTGCTGGAAGTCGTCCTGAATCAGTAACTCCTTTTCCATGCGCTTCTGGCCCGAGAGGCCATCGTCCATCCGAATGCTGTACAAGGTGTCGGGAGTAGAAGGGCTCGCGCCTAACTCCTCTAACCTTTTGTCTATTTCAAAAACAGATAGAGAGAACACTTCAACGCCGTGAGTAGATGCCAGCCGGTTGAAGGAGGCAGCGCTGACTTTCAGGGGCTTAGGGATATGTGAAACGTCGTGACGAGTGCATTTCACTTGAACCGAATCCAACCTCCTAGGCATACAGTGTCCTCTACAGTACGTAGAGCCAAAAACGATACTGTGGTTCGTCCAGTCAATTTGAGGGTTGTGGAGAGCGAGCCACGGGTGTCCTATGATGATGTTGTGGGAGGCGAGTTTAGTAACATGGAAGCGTTGTTGACGTTCTACATGCTTCCCGACAATCATGTCCAAGATAACTATATGAGTAACATCACCTGCTGAAGAAGGTCTCCCGTCCGCGATGCGGAGACGACGAGGCCGAGCGAGTGGGACGAATTCAAAACCACAATTTTGCGCATAATCGGAATCAATGAAATATTGAGCTGAAGCCCCAGAGTCGAGCATAAAGTAAGTAGTAGAAGTTATGTGTTTGGTATTGCCTTTCTGTACTACCTTACAAGGAACCTCCATCGTACTTTTCTGCCTTTCCTCTAGAGATGATATCTTCAGGACCTTCTTCCGAAGACGTCTCTGACGGCGACTTTCGTCAGAGACTAGACTTTTCCCGCTTCCTTCGCAGCTTTCGTCGACTCTCGAGCCTCAAGCTTGGGACATCCAGTGGTGCCAATATTGTGGTCGGGGCTATCGCAATAGTGGCAAAGGTCGTGTTTGATTTGGTAGGCTTTGCGAGCTGTCTTCTCTTCATCGGTCTTCGCACGACGCTTTGCTTCTACGTCCTTCTTAGTCCAAACGAGTCTTCCAGCAACTTTCATCATATCGAGCTCCATCGGGTCTTCGTAAGCAGTAGCAGTAGCAGTAGAGGCAGTAGGCGTCGGGACTGTATAGGGGGTAAGAGCCATGGAAGCGAGCTTGGTAGGCTTGGTCTTGGTGAAGTGTTCGCCGAAGATCTTTCTACAGTTGCGGTCTTGCTCTCGGACAAGGTTGACTAGGTCGTGGGGGGACATGTCGTCGCTATATCGGCCGCTGGAGAGGACTTGAGCATGAATGCGTCTGTCCATATTCTGCATGAGAAGGTCAATGACAGGGAAGCCTTCGTTTCCAGAGGCAGACGCCAGTGCTAAGAACGAGCTTAGAAATTGGTCAGTAGGGCGAAGTCCCTGAGTCTCTTTTTTCAATAGCTGCCAGCTGTCTGACTTACTATAGACATTACCAAAGGTTCGGCGTAAGACATCGAGCATGTCGTCGACCGATGACAAGCTTACTTTGAAGGAGCTATCGTCGTTAATGTGAGGGTCGATGTGTTTGCGAGCATCTCCTTCCAAAGTACTCAAGACATATGCCATCCTACTTCTCTCAGTAGTCCACCAGTCAGCGTTCTCGGCTAACTTCAGCTTCAGGTCGATAATGTATGTATGAAGTTCGGCAGCTGAGCGTCGCGTGCCGCCGAATCGTTGAGGGTCAGCGTAAGGTTGTGACCGAAGTGTTAGAGGGGGTGGGTAAGCGTGAACTTGTGGTAGAGGCTGAGGTTGAGCTTGGGGTTGGGCATAGACTTGAGGCTGGGCTTGAGTTTGAGCTTGAGCTTGAGCTTGAGCTTGATTCAAGGCTTGGCTTGTGGTATGAAATTGAAGTTGCATAGCGTGAAGTTGGTTTCGTAGCTCTGCGGTCGTATTCTGTTCTCTCTCAAGGTCTGTGATTGCTTCTTCTTCGTCGCGACGAGAGGTAGCGTATTGGACTTGAAGTTGGTCGTGCTTGTTGAGGAGGTCTTGTAGGGCGTTACGAATACCATCCGGGTCATTGGGAATAGTAGTAGGTTTACTGATGAGGTTTCGAAGTTGCTCAATCGTGTAACCTCCTTCTGGTGGTGGTGGTAGCTGGTGGTTGTCGCGGGAGGTGGACGAGGTGAATGGGTTGAGGAAGCTAGGCAAGCCGGTATTGGCTGCCCATCCTTCGAACCCGTTGTTGTTGCTAGTACTCATCTTGAGGTGTTTGCAGTACGATGGCGATGCCTGTCGTACGACAAAAATTGAGTAAAGGGCAGACAATATGTCAGGGTGTATGATTAGATTGTCTGCGAGGAGAGAAGAGTTCTCCAAGCAGAAGTGCTACTTATCTATCTACAGTGCCTTGTTTCCCGAAATCTACCCGACACCAAGCCTCGAATTCACTGAATCAAATCTGTTACATAATAGCGCGGTGCTGCAGCGAGAGACATATACTTCAAGAAGCTGAACAAGGTGCGGACCCACTCGTGATAATCTCCTTTATCCAGGCAGCCGAATGATTCTCCGAAAGCAAGATCACTGATGGTATCCATGGTGAAGAAGTTGAACCACTCGGTAATGTTGATGCAGCCACCGCGACCTTTGTTTTGAGGATTCTCAGCAAGTAGTTGAAGTTGTGAGATGAGTAAATCGGCTTTGGATAGGATGAGGGGTTATTGGCTTTTAAGTGAGGCTTCCGTGAACGAGTTGCTCAGGATTCCGCGAATGCGAGCGTGGAATCGGAAATCGGTTGTTGTGATGATGTTATCAACATTTGCATCGGGTGCTGAGCTATCAGTAATACACGAGAGATATTTCCAAGTCATGCTACTCACCAACATAATACGCCTTATCTCTCAAAGCTCGTTTATGTCCTTTGCGAAAATTGTATATATCATTCCATGCTTCCTCGCTCGCGAACGAGACCTCGTCCGGAGCGAGACGGAAAAAGTCGCCGTATTTCTCGTGGAATTCCTTTTCCCGTTTGACTAATTGGCCGGTGATGAGACAGTATATTAACGGCAGTCTTGAAGCGGCCCATAGTTTAGGACCAGTATGTTTTGAAAGAGGATGGAAGTACAAGTTATATACTGCATTGATAGTTGGGTACTGTTCTCTGTAAGCGTTTGACACGTATTTCCGTGGTTGAACGTAGGATCAACTGACTGAAAGTAGGACAAAGATTGCAACAGCGTTCTTGTGTTCCTCCAAAGAGTCAAAAATGTATGTTAGAATGCCCATGATGATTATCGATTAGTAAGAAGACGCAACTTTTGTGGATGATCTCTCTCCTAAAAAGATTAGATTTAGATTTGTTTAAGGAAGGTGGCACATTCTTGAGTGCAACCTAACCATATATAGGTGGGGTAACCAACAACAGTAATAGATTGGGATTATTGTTTTGAACTCCAGTTACTGCGCCAGAGACATGCATATATGCATGAGAGTTGTATTCCAATCACCAACTACTGACCAACTACAGTATGGAGCTAGATGATTGTGCCCGCATCACACTTGCAGAATCCCTCTAGGGCGGCAGTACAAACAACCTCTCTCCCGCTCTCTGTAAGCATCCAGTGATATTAGCAGGAAATTCCTCCAACTTCTTCAATCCGGGACAGCGGTACATTCCACGTCCCCTCACTATCCAGAATCATCCCGTATGCTTTTCAATATCCCTATAGGATAGTTCTGCCAAAAGTCATCCCCCGTTTCAGAAAATCACGCAAAATGTGGATAATCCCAAAAGAAAATAGCCAGGGTCTTGCGTTTTTCATCGTCATCGTCATTGTTGCAATATTGGCGGTATTTGCGTTTATGGTTCGTGTATATTCTCGGAGATTACACAAAGCTTCCTTGGACTTGAGCGATTACGCGTGCTTATTTGGATTGGTGAGTACTTAGCCATTTTTCTTCACCTTCACCGCATATGGCTAACTGATACCGGATATTGGATATTGAATTGATTGTTACAATGTTTGGGGGTAAGTGGAAGACAAGATAATACAAGTACAATCGATTTGGCGTATCACTGATTCTTGAAAAGTATATTCTCATGGCTAGAGAGAAGATATTTCTTCCTTCACATTAGAGGAAGGATATTTTGCAGCAAACGTCAGTGTGCTTATAAGCACTTATCTTCGATCTTAGTGACACACTAACATCCTTAGGTTTTTATTATCGTTGATATTGTATGGAACGCTGCATCAGTAGCAGTTCGTGCTTCAATGCTGTTATTTTACATCCGCATCTTTGTTGTAAAACCCTTTCAGCTAGTCTGCTGGATTATGATTGGAGTCAATATAGCAATTCTTCTCTCTGTCATATTAACACATTTTCTGATATGCCAGCCGTTATCATACAGCTTTGCTCCAGTTACACCAGGTGGTCATTGTGGAGATATAGCTTCATTTCTACTCTATACGACAAGCACAAGCTTGATTAATGATTTCATCATTGTGGCTCTTCCAATGCCAGTACTATTCAGGCTGCAGATGGCGAAGAAGAGGAAATTCGGGCTGACCATAATCTTCGGAATGGGCATCTTGTAAGTAAAGAATATAGAACAAGACCTGACAACATGCTGACCCTTCTTTAGCATTTGTGCAATGACACTAGTTAGACTACTCATATCTCGATACTATCGCTTGAATAACTACACGAAACAAGCGGCAATTGTTGGATTCATCACCGCCTTAGAGCCTATGTTTGGAGTTATAAATGTCTGCCTCACATTTTTTCCAATCGTGCTCAAGCGCATCAGCAATTCTGCATTCATCTCACAGTTTTCAAGAGCGACATCGCCCAGTAAACAGGGGGCTGGAAATATCAAGCGAGGGAGTGGTATCCGAGCCCATTCTTCTGGTCAATTTAGAGGTCTAGACAGCGTTAGTCTTGGTCCACTGGAGATGCCAGTCAGTGCATACGTGTCTGCCAATGATATGAGCGAGGAAAGTGGAGCAGTCTGGGACATCAATTCAAGGAGTCAAAATTCTATAGTTGTAAGCAAAGATGTACGTGTAGAATGATCATTGTAAGCGGCATCAGCATTCAGCTTCTCGCTTAGTGAGAGCAATATACGTAGATAAATACCCACGTATATCACGAAGCTGACTTTTTACCTAGTACTGTGATCAATGAATGATTATCGGCAGTGGCCCGTATATATATTCGAACTTGAAGATAGCTAGTATACGTTGGAGGCGGAGTCATGTTGGGTTTGGATTGCTTTAATGTGATTTGTTCACAACCTTCAATATAGAAAAAACAATGCATTGTCAACCAACCCAGCTCGGGTACTGTACAACTCGGGTGATTTGCGCGTTGGATGTTGGATGATGTTGGTCGTTTATTAGGTTTCCCTATGGAGTTTGACGATGAGCCCAACGAGCCTTGGCTGTTGCTCTATCTTACTTTGGAATTTTTGTATTTTTTGTAATACTTTCCTTCAGCCGAGTCGAAGGTTCCAGTATGTGTTATACCTACATTCCGCTTATCTTCCGCTGATTACCTTTCTAAAGCAATTTTCTCTTCGGTACTCGATCAAAATGGAAAACAAAACCGATGAAAACAACACCTCGCCAAACGTCTCTGCCATAGAGGGTGGGACGGAAGCCGGCTATCACACGGGGCTTAAATTGGTTATTGTTATGGGCTCATTACTACTCGGAACAACTTTGATGGCCCTTGATACTACAATAATTTCTGTCGCAACACCTACCATAACAGCCGAGTATCACACATTGAATGATGTTGGCTGGTACGGCGCAGTTTACCTCATGGCCTTAACATCAACAACATCTATCAGCGCCAACTTTTACAAGTACTTCAATCCGAAATATGTCTATTTAGCAGCGATCGCCATTTTTGAAGGTACTGTAACAAGAACCCCGCATATTCTCCTTCTTCTTTCCTGAGCTGAAATCCATAGTTGGCTCTCTGGTTGCTGCTCTCGCTCCCTCGTCAGCAGCCTTCATTGCTGGTAGGGCTCTCACTGGACTCGGCGCTGGCGCTCTGCTACAGGGTGCCTTTGGAATTCTTACATATATTTGCACTCTCGAGATGAGGCCACTATTCTTAGGCATTGTAGTGAGCATGTTTGGGTTGTTCTCTAGTATTGGTCCCCTAATTGGTGGAGTGTTGACCCAGAAGGTCACGTGGAGGTGGTGTTTCTGGATGTAAGTCCTCATTGCGAAAGACGATATGAGTGTCGCTGATTATTATCGCAGAAACTTACCCATTGGAGGTGTTGTCTTTCTCCTGGTTGTTAGCTTTCTGGATCTCAAAGGGGTGGATCAATCAACACGTGCCATTCCATTCAGGACGAAACTCATCAAATTGGATTTTCCTGGCGTTGTTTTGATAATTGCTTCTGTCTGTTGTCTATTCCTGGCACTGCAAGAAGGCGGTGTTACTGTGCCCTGGAATTCTGCGAGACCCATTGGTCTGTTCATTGGGTTTGGGCTTCTTTTTATTATTTTTGGACTATGGCAATGGAAGGCTGGAGAAAAAGCAACAATTCCTTTGAGGTATTTGAAAGACAAGACGGTGCTTTGGGGGTCCATATATTTATTCTGGGATAATATGGCTTCTTATGTGGTATAACCCCTTCTCTTCATCCATTAATCTCAAAGCTAATGGCGAAAATTAGACGATTTATTACATTCCTTTTTATTTCCAAGCAGCACTCGCTCAGTCCCCAATTACAAGTGCAGTAAGCTACATGGCCCTTTCAATTCCACAAATGATTGGCTTGTTGGCAGGAGGTGGTATCACAACTAAGACAGGACACTACGTAAGTTTTCACGAAAAGCAGATTTCTCCAAGTTATCAGTCCTTCTCTCGTTTGCTAATCAAGAACCGTCCTAGATGCCAGTAATTCTGTTTGCCCAGGTTCTATGTGTTATTGGCTCAAGCCTTCTCATAACTTTGAAGACGGACACTTCCACCGCCAAGTGGGCTACATACTTAGTTCTCACAGGACTCAGACTTGGATTAGGTGTCAACGTACCACACATTGCAATACAAGCTGTGATTGAAACGTAAGTCGTCATATTTCCTGTTTTTAAAATACCACCCAGCGCTAACCCAGTGTAAATAAGTGGTAATGACATATTCCTTGCAAATGGCATAGCCAGTTTCTTTGGGCAATTTGGGGGGTAAGTATTCCAATCCAGCTCATTTGTCCATTCTAACTTTCCTCTTTTTAGCGCACTTGGGGTCCCAATTGCTAACGCCCTCCTAATTAATGGTCTGCGCGACTCCATTCCTAAGGATACCTTCGGCGCAATATCCTCACAGGCTGTGATTGACATCGGAGCTACGGGGCTCTCTTCTTTAACCAATGATGATTCCCTCATCCAAAAGCTGAGAGAGGCCTACACTGTAGCGCTGTCCCATACGATGATATTTTTACTTGCTACAGTTTGCATTTCGATACCGATCGCTTTTGGTATGAAGTGGTTGAATATCAAAAACGTTTCAATTGAGCGGGAGAATGCTAAAGCAAAGGAACGAAGGAGAATGGTGGAAAATGGAGGCGAGAAAAGAGTAAGAGAACAGGAAGGAGAAGGTGTTGTAACTGTCTAGTGGGAGAACCTTGTTTTGCCATATCTTTTTATTATGATAGTCAGTGAGCCTTCTCCTACGCTGTCCATTTGTTCGCGCAGAGAGAATAAGTACTGACTACCATATTAATTGGATTACAAGATACTATTATTTAAGTAAAGATTCGTCCCAAGGCCTATTTGAACCATATCTTGTTAATACAACTGAAATTCTGTACAATACATTTGCCCCATATGCATCTTTTACTAAAGTATTATCTTGTGCCCCCTCTCTCCCATCCTCTTAGCCTTGTATCCTACTCCTAACCTTATCTAATCTTTCTCTTCCTTAAACCTGTCATTATAGGAAGAATAGGACGTAGATATTCAATAAAATATAGTTTAAGTATATGAAGTATATAGAAACAGCCTTCGTTCTTGAAATAGATATAGATAGTTTTTTTAGAACTTAACTTTGAAATAAAAATAACTCTTGGCTATATAGTAAGGTTCGGCATTTGAAATACGATTCCAAGGATTCCAAGATTCTATTCCAAGGTAGAATATTCTAAAGGCTCTTTAATTTAGAAAAGAACATTCTAAAGGATAAGGCTTTGGAATTTAGAATTCCAAAGCATATATATATATATTACTATTCAACCAATAAGAGAGCTCTTTTTGTTATTAAGTAAGGACTAATACTGTGATTATTACCTACGCCTACCTAGGTAATTAATTATTATCGTCTCCTACATATAACTCTAAAGCGTAAATCTCCTCTTCTTTTAATTCTCTTAATATGTCCTTGTATATAATATGTATAGGGGCAATATTATTAATAGTGTTACGAGTAATTAGTATTTACTCTTAGTATAAGCACGTACTCTTAGTATATCTTAGTAGTACTACACGTACTTACTCTGTATACTTTTTAACCTAGCTACGCTAGATGACAAATAGGCTTCCTATTAGTCGCTCGGACCGGAAATACTATTTTAAAGGTCACATAGGGATTTCCAATTAGAATGACAAATATTCGACCCTTTAGAATAGACTATTCCAACAGTTATACTATTTAGAATGGAATATTCTATAGGGGGGTCTTAGAATGGAATAGAATTTCGAATGCCGAACCGTGCTATTTAGTACGGTATTTACAGGTGCTTAGCTAATACAGTATTACTAAATAAGGCGTCTAAAAATAATATAAAACAATTGATCTAGGAGTCTGGCCTCCTAACTAGTTCAAATTATATGATATTAGTATTTTAGACTATATAGACCATATCTACAAACGTAGTAATATCTTATTCGTAAATGATATCTTATAACCCGATTAATACAGTATGAGTATTAGAGTATATGAGAAGTTTTGTGACTACCTAACACTAGAAAGCTCCACCATTACTCAGCTCGCACTTCCCCCACAGTACCGTGATCTTAATGTGGGCGTGAATCTTATTCGTCAGGACAATCGACATATATGCCCCCCTTTTCTATAAGTTTACTTCGGCCATGTCCTAAGTACTCTCCTGTCTATCGGGGTCTCTGAAGCACCTCCATAGACTCTTACTAACCCGTATCACCTAAAGAAAGATTTAGTTTAATCATGAAAGTAGCTTTCTTGATTTGTACAGTACACAACATCCAGTCCAAAAACAACCCTCTCATAGCAAATAACGAGCCAATCCTAAGCCCTCTTACCCTTCCTCCCCCACGCCGAAACCCTCCTATTCATATCCCAAACAACAAACCCCATAACAAACGGCACAAACCACCCCATCACCGTATCCCCCACCCAACCATTCCGCGGCGAATTCCCCATCGCACCCCATCTCATCAGCTCCCCCACAAAAGAAGTCGTCACAAAATAATACCCTTTCTCAATCCCCGCAACAGCTAATCTAGCAACTACCTCTGGCGACTGAGGCACATCACCCGTTTCCAGTTGTAATGTGATGGCAGGTTTGGTTTCATTCTCACGCTCGTACCCAGCGGTCGTGATGGAGTTGGGCATTACGAGGTGTACGTCGATCATACCGGCTGGGCAATCCTCACCCTCTCCACCGGTCTCTGGTGCACCATCGACCAAACCTCATCCAAAGCCAAGAGAGACACATTCCTAGTCTCCATCGGCATCGGCCTCGGTATCGTCTTCCAAACCATCCCCTTCCCCTTACAAGCAAGTGTCTCAGACGCCGACGACAGCGGCCGAATCGTCGGTCTGTTAGTAATCGCACGGTTCTTGGGGGGCTTATTAGGACTATCCATTGGATCCGTGGTGTTCAATAGTAGCTTTGCACATCAGATGGCGATTTTTGGAGATCTGCCTGTGGAATTTGGGCAGCTTTCGGATCCTAGTCAGGCTATTGGGTTTATACCCACGCTGAGGACGTTGAGGGTAGATGCAGAGGTTATGAGGGGATTGTTGGAAGCTTATCGGATCCCGTTTCGGAGTGTATGGGTTGTTTTGGCGTCGATTTCGGGGGTGGGGTTTGTGATGTCTTTACTTACGGAGCAGCTTGATTTGGAGAAGGAAGATTTGGGAAGACAGCGATTTAGTGAGTCTTAGATGGGAGGTATATGGCTACCTTGTGTACAAAGTAGTTGAGACTTCTATATAGTGTCGTACTAGAGCTCTCTTAAATACCTAGGCGCGAAGATTATATTTATCGGAGTATCGCGATATTTATTATAATATGTACTGAGTAGAGCATATATACAAAACCTACCCTACCAAACCCAGGAACCCACCAACCAACTCATTCCATCTCCCCAACCAGAGTCGACTTCCTTCTCGACCCCCTTATCCACAATCATATTTCCCTTCCAATCGCAATCCCAAACTCATCTCAAACTCAGCTCAAACCCAACCGAAAGAAAACAAAGGAAATAACGCGCAGCGGTGGTATATAGATAAAAACAAAAAAACACACCAACCCACCAAGAGAGAAAACACCAAACACCATACCAAAAACACAACAGACAAAAGAACAGAGAAAAATACAATCTAGCATCAAACACCTCTCATCTTTCTAGCATACCCTCATTCAATGACCGCCTTGTAAACTCTAGGTAAAACTCCTTCCCGGGCCAGGTCTAGAGTTCCCATTATTCCCCTGGCGAGGCGGAGAAGAGAAGCCAGTCGAGGGAGTTTGCGCGCCCTTATACACATAAGCTGGATGCGGATTAGCTTCATAGCCTCTAGCGATGTCAATCCCGAGTCCCAAAGTCCTTCCATTGCCATATCCAGATCCATCTACATCTTCACAACGCAAGAAAAAGAATTAATACAGAAATTGCAAAGATAAGGAGATCCTTCGCAGAAGAAAAAGAGAACAAGGATGGATAAGAGGAATCAGATGAGGTAGGGATGGGGATGGTACTTACGTTCACCCTTCCTCAACCCCGCCAACCCACTACTCTCCATCATATCCGAGAATGTCGTCTGACTGCTCCCCCTCAACATCCGCGGCTGATTGCCATTCCCATTTCCCGTCAAACTCCTCGGCGGCTTCAGATCCACAGGCGGGGTATGCGCCCTTAGCGCTGACGCCGTATCCCCATCCGCGAAGATATTGATATCCTCATAACTCGGTTCCCTCTGCAGTCGATTCCTTGGAGCAGTCGGTCTCTCTCCGCTTCTACCGCTCTTGCCCCTCTGAACTACAAGCGGCATTGGTGGCGCAACACTGCGTTCGGACATCCCCTGAGACGAGGAGCTCGCTTGAGATTTACGGAAGAGGGAGCGAACGCGCTGGGAGCGGGAGCGTGTGCTGGTCGAAGATGGTGAGCCGGGTGGTTTGCGGAGGAAATCGGTGCGCATGTCGTTTGTGCTGCTGGGTTGGGGTTCGGAAATCGTATTCCCGAAGCTGGAACCGCTTCCTCGCCTATCCCCTTTCCTTCGGTGGGCGCCCAGGAGACAGATTCCTGCGATGGTGAGGAGGACACCGAGGGCAAGGCCGGGGAAGAATCCTGCTATGACAGCTACCGCCGGGAATTTCGGACAGGATGCTGTGTCGACTGGCGAAGAAGATGGTGAAGTTGGCGATGTGATGGGAGTATTTGAGGATGTTGGGGATGAGGCAGGTAGACGCGTGGGCTTTGCATCTTGTGTTCCGTCGATTGAGCAGATTGTTCCGTTGCAGTGGAAGCCAAAGGGACAACATCCTGCACCACATGTTTCCATTGCATTTCCTAGCGCCGTGGTCTTCAAAATATTATTTTGATGGAGCGTTGCATTTTGCTGTGTGATGTCACAGGATACTGCTTGAATAGCAGAGCAATCTGCTCCGGCAGGACAGCAGAGAAGGGTGGTGCTTCCTGCTAGCTCTAGACACGTTGATACGGGCGGACAGCAGAAGTTGTCTGGTAGTTTGGTATTCGCACATGTTGAGTAGGTGGGATCCGGACAAGTTGATGATTGTCTGGCAAATATGGAGGGGGTTTGGCGTGCTTCTGAGGGGATAGATGACCATATCGTAATAAGGACCAGCCTTCGAATGCTAAAACACCCCATGGTCTCCAGCAAACCTGTTGTCTTTGTATATGAATGTATTTGAAACCAATATGGAGTATCTCCAGAAGATATCTCCGATAGATCTCGAGGATCCAAGAGTTCGAGAGTTCGAGAGTGATGCTCTTGCGCTCGTGTATAAGTGATACAGTCAACAATTGACTCGAGGTAGATAGATATAGGGAAAAATAAAATATAAATCGATAGCTGTATCGTAGACGATTCTTTAAACGAGGAATATAGAAAATAAGCAAAAAAGGGTATATGAGAGGTAAAGATGCAGGCGAAGAAAAGCGAACAAAGAAGTACACCAACTAGAATCCTTCTCGATGGCAAACACAGAACAATGAACCTCGGACAGAAACATCCAGGCATATTCATACCATCACCCTCACGACTCTCTTTGTTCCCGCACCAGGCCGACGGACACTCGTCCACACAGCTTCTACATACAAACACCTTTCGTCATCATGCCCGTGCAGCATGCGCCAACCTGTGAAGAGGCCTCGATCCGCACCGGACCCGCAAAGGGTCCTCGACGTGTTGGCCATGTATCCTTGAATAGAATCTCGGTGCCAGCTGTGTCTATTCTCGACACAGATGGCACCGTTCAGGCGGCTCGAGGAGTGTCTGAGTCTACAGGCTGCCAACGGCGCCGTGTTTCCCGTCTACTCACGGGGTGGGGCGATGCAAGTCGTGGGCGGCCGAGGAGGTTGAGGTTGTGTCTGAAGTCTGGTGAGGTTGAGGAAGTAGTGGTTGGCAAGCGCTGCCACGAAGTCGGTCGCTAAGCCAGATGAAACGCGGGGGACTGATTGGCTGGGTTGGGTGGTGAGGAGATTTGACGCTGGCTTTGCCGCCGTCTATTGGGCGATAGTCTGCTGTAGGTAGAGGCCCATCCGATTGTCAATGGGAAAACCTCCGAGGTACGAGTACGTAGGGTCGACCTTATCCTCGTCATGTGTTTGAATGAATTATTTCCTCCCGCTGCTGCCCAAGTAGGAAGGAACGAGTGTACAGGCGTACTGTACCAATTGCACTTGGTCAAGAGGTTCCCATTCATTCTGACTCACCCGCAAAGATTTCCATTTCACCGCAAAATCTACCCTGCGCGCCCAGATCACGACCCCATCCCACCTACAACTCAAGAATTTTCCTTCATCAAAGAAATCACGACTTCACCGCCGAATTGACATATCGTGACACTATCTCCATCTCCACTGGCCTCTTCACCTCGTCCGTCTCGTACTGCCGACCTAATATCAGAATGCGGTAGTAATAGTAGTAACAATAGCTAGGTAACAAGGTCTCAATTCGGGCCATGGCTTGGGTGCACGTCCAGTACTCCACCCGCATTGCGGGCATCGTCTTTTGCCCTTGCCCTGTCACATTGAAAAATCCTTCAACTCAGCCCTAACGAGAATTGGCAAGTGGGAGCGTGCGCGAGGTGGGGTTTGCGGTCGTGAAGAGAATTTTGCTATACACGAGGTAGCCGACGATGGATTCTGTAAGTTACATGATGTGCAGAAACGAGAGCAATGCCACCCCCAAGTACTTTATCCCAAACTAGGTATGAAGATTAGTACTATATGTCATTACCTAGTAAGGTAATATATATCTATAAAATATGGAGCGCATAACTACCTATTTTCGCTCTCTTGACTTGAAATATCTCTTCTATTTTTTATATGCATAACCTTCAGGGCTGTATCCAACAAACGGTCCCGACCTCCTCTGCAGCGGAAAGAAATCCGATCATCTCGCCACCAAAAATCCAACATCAGCCCATCTCATCTATCCCATCCCATCCCATCTCCCGCCCAAATAACCATATGTATGTATACACACAAAAAAACCCCTAGAACAAAAAACTACCGTCCCTCCTTCCCGTCCCGATACGACTTGCAACAAACCCCCAAATGCTAATTGTTTCTCGTGTGATTTCTTGATTCATGGGCTAAGATCAGATCATAAGGCCATTTTGCACGGGAATTGCAACGGGAGATTTGTAGGAGGGGTAATTGTACTTCTATGGGGAAGGGGAGGAAGGAAGGAAGGAGATACATCGGTGGTACTTTGTTTTTTGTACTTTGTACTTGGATGTGGTACGTGTATGTTGCGTAGTTGGATTGGTAGGACCTGGTACTATGTAGTATCTCGTAAAAAGATGTGAACGGTCATGGGATTTTTTGTACTGTATCGATTTTACTTTTCTCTTCTAGGTCTTTTCGAGAATGGGTGGTTTACTCTCATAGAATCAACTTTGTAATTCTTCTCATTTTCTTTCATCCCCATGATCTAAAATAACCATCAAACTCACATCTTTACTCCTCGCTTACCCTGCGACACCATGGCATACCTACCGATACAGTATCATAGTCTACTAGAGCACTCGCCAACCAAACGTAGGCCCCCATAAAACTCTTTCCCTACCATAGCCATTTCATATAACTATACTACCATCTTCCTCATACCAAGAATAAGAAACTTGCCAGCGAGAACTGAAGCCACTCCACGTACCATACCGTACACCCACACGAAACCCCCAATCTCCCACAGCCACACCACTGTACACCATTACACTATCCTTTTGTTATATTAAGTAGTTAGGTCGTGGCCACGACATGCAAGGCTTAGCGATAACCATACAATCTTTATGTTTAATTTAATGTGCTGAAGAAGATTAAGAATGGGATGAAGATGATGGGCGGAATTTTGAAACATTGGATTATATAGGTAGTGGATTAGGGAGGGGGGATAAGTAAAAGCAAGCACAATAATGTGAGCAATTGATGACTGCTTACTTACTTGTATCTACTGGTGTACTACAGAAGGTAGTTATGGTTCCCAAATACTGGTTTGGCAGTGAGAAGTATAGTGAAAGTTGAGTTATTAGTTTAAAAAGAACTAACTTTGAATCGTATGTGATATCACGCGGTAAATGGGTACCATATACATACAGAACGAAATTAGACATATTCGTCAGTACCAGTATATATCTCACACCATCAACAACTATACAATCCTGTATATCCCCTTCCAAATCTCAAATCTCATACAGTAAAACAAAGCAAACTGACCCACAGCACACTTACAATCAATATACCAGCCCCAGCCAACCCAACCATCTCAATCCCCATCCCGTCCTCGTTTACACCTCGTAAATCGCACCTCATACTCTCCCCTCATTCTCATTCATCTCTCTTATCTCCATCCCGTCCATCCCGTCCCTCCCACCTCATCACATCCAGACCATGGCCACCAACCGCAGCCAACAAAGACCAACACTTGTATTTGCCTCACCCGTGCCCGTCCCGTGCTAACCGAGAATTATATAGTAACCCCCGAGTTGTTAGGGTTCCATGCGGCAGAGAACCCCGCAATCCTTCGTAGAATCATGGAGAAAATAGGCCCGAAGAGCTTCGGGCGCTCGTGGATTGGTGAGCAGGGGGAAGGGGGAGGGGATTTACACAGAATAACCAAGTCACAGTACAGGCATAGTTGATTTGGTGGAGTTTAAAGTGTAAACGGATTATCTGAATTATTTGATTCCTAAACTGGTATTCTTAAATCCCTAAACACCCCATCCATCTCGTATCCAGTATGAGACTCGGCTTCGCAGCCCCATATATCTAGAGAGAAACCAGCAAACCCAAAACAGGACATCAAGCCATTAGAAAAAATGAGACTCTCGAGAAGGTGTATATAAATATTGCGCAAAGAAAACCCCCAGAAAAAAAGGAGGAGCATAACGCTCAACTCCAAATGGTATATATAGTAAGATTTTCTGCATCCCATCCCATTCCATCCACTTCCATTCTTCTTCTCATTTCATTCATCAAGAACATCTCCTCCCAAGTAATTTCATTCCATCCCTCTCGTTCGTCCCTCTCATTCATATCCCATGAAAAGAAAACGCCGGTTCAGTATATGCCCCCAACCCCCATCCATGATGCTCCAAAAAAATATTACAATATCCACCCTCGTTCGTGGTATACGAAAAAAAGAAAGGGAGAGTATCTTTCTGTCTGTCTGTCTCTGTGTGTCCGCTGCTGTCTCAGTCGTGGGTATCATATCATATCCTTTGCCATCCAATCCCATCCCATCCATCCCATCCATCCTTTTATCCCATGCACCCAAAAAACACCATATATCAAAAAAGAAAGAAAAAAGGGGTTCCATCAAATCACCGAATCCCACGTCCCAACAGGCTCGCGCCAAAGAGTGTCGTCTTCCACCACCAAATCCTCTTCCAGAGCAAGGAAAGCAGAAGCAAGAAAATCTAGATCAACAAGAAATCCCACCCCTTATCCGCCATAACATCTCGCCAGGAGACATACGACGCCCCCTCCCCCTCCACATACCTCGCATCATTCCGACCCCAACACTCCCTCAACAAGCTCTTCACGCGTCCAAAACTGCCCAGATCCGCCAGCTCCCCCAGCTGCGCGACGCGCTCCTCAAAGAACCCCCGGAACGGCGACGCGCCGGTCGACACCGAGCCCCCGAGGAGGTACACCCAGCTCAGCGAGCGATCGAAGCCGTTCATGCCGCTGGGCACAAACTCCAACGCCTGCGTCAGCTTCTCCACGAGCGCGACGACCTGCGGCTGCGAGGGGTGGAAGCCGGGCACGAGACTGCAGAGGTAGATGCGTGCTGCGAGGCGGAAGGCGGCCGTCATGTTTTTGCTGAGTTGCTTGGGGGAGAGGACACCATTCGAGTTCCATGGGTAGCGTGGCGCGCAATCTTCCATTTCTGTGAGTCCGATGCCGTGACCTAGACCCTCGATGTGGAGGAAAAGTTGGTCGTCGTCCATGCCGTCCCTCTTGAGGTTCTCTAGACATGCAATCTCGGAAATGAGGTACATGACTCTATCCTCGCACCCCATGAGCTCGCGTAGACCAAGCGAGGAGTCGTGCGAACTCTGGTATTTTTCGCGGTAGGTGTGTGCGAACTTTGGTGATTTCCCTTGTAGTGCGGACCCGAGGATGTCGATCATGGAGGTGAGAGTCATATTAAAAGGTTTCGTATCATGCGACTCGAGGACCTGTCTATCGAGGTCGAGTTTAGCGACCAACTCAGCCACCGCTTGGAAGTGTTGATGCCATGGGACATCTGGGAGGTTGTCTTCTGGGCGCCCGACGGAGCATTGGAAGAAAATCATTCCAAGCGTTGCTTCTAGGATACCTTGGTGGTCAGTGTCTCGATTGAGAGCGGCACAGAGCTCGGAAATGGTGGCATATCTGTGGCGTACGATGTCGTCGTCGATTTGGTCGCCTTGGATGTTCATCATGGATTTGTAGTGCTGAGCCGAGATACTGAGACAGCAGTGAAGGTATGCCTTATTGCTTTGCAGCGCTGGGAGAATGTAGTCTGACCGTGCAGAACCGTGCTGGTTTGTCTCGAGGATTGGGAAGATGGTTGGGAGAACGTCTGAGATGAAGTGATCTAGAAGTCTCTGGTCGCTCTCGTCTAGTTCAATTGCTACTCGGCGGACTGTTGATGGTGGTCCATGGGCAAAGTCAAACATGTTCATGTTCAAGGCCTCCTCTGCTAGCGATTCTCTTCGGTCACCGTAAAGTCCATCCCATGGGTTCTCTGCTGGGTATGATGGAAGCATTTGCTCTGGTGGTGGTGGGTGGAATGTACTAAAGGTGGAAACGGTGGATTCGCGTCGCGTTGGGATATCATTGACGAACATTTGTCTTTCCGTCTTGACATCAATCTCATATGGAGAGAATCCTGGATACATGGCAGCATATTGTGAGTGTGATGAGTGCATCTGTGCATTGTATGCTGTGTAGTCTTCAATGTGTGGTTGTTGACTGAAGTCGAAGAGAGAAGAGTCGATTGAAGCTGATCGAGTACGATCCAAAGGATCGGTAAAGGTTGCTGAGGTAGGTAACGAATGTGATAGTCCTGGTGGAGAATCTGGCCCCGGTGCCATCACTTGGTGGGTGGTAGTGTTTGTCTTCTCCAACAACTTCTTTCGCTTGATGATCATCTTAATGTTATCTTTCTGACACCGACGTTGATCATTGTTGCTCCACCACATGGGTCTCTTGTATTCACATCGAAGGCCGAGGTGTTTGCATGCGGTGCAGCATGGAGAACCCTCATCACACTTCTTCCGTCGAAGTCTGCATGTGTAGCAGCCTTTCACATGAGTTAGTCGAGAACTACCGAGAAGCGACAGTTATCCGTGAGGAACAATAGAACGTACCTGTTCTTGATCTTCGGTGCATCTGCATCTTGGTTTTGGTTGCTGGATTGGAATTTGCCTTTGGAGCTGGCTTTTGTTTGGGTTGAGAGACCGCCATTGTGACGTTTGATCTATTCAATTGCGAGTTGGGGGGTTGAGTTGACATTTGTACCTGGCAGGTGATGTTGGGGGCTCGGACCAAGTGTGGAGTCGGGTCGAAAGTGCACTGTGTGTGGTGTGGTCCTTTATTGCGGCGATGAGCGACTAGGATCTGTAGCGAAGGCTATTGGCGAGGCCGGGGACTGATTAACTTATTAATAATGAGCGACGGGTCAAAGCAAGTCCAGCTATGCTTTGGAAATGGGCGAGGCGGAGTTGGAGAGGGTGAGTATGATGTGCGACTAGGAGGGAGAGAGAGGGAGAGAGAGAGTGTGAAGACGAGGATGCACGCTTATAGACTTTGATTCTCGCAATGGTCTAGATAATGGATCTTGGATGCGTACCTGTGGACTATATATGAAGACATTGCGAGCGACCGGTGTGTGGCCCTCGATATTTCGAGGTTCTATTTTGGGCAACCTATTGGAGTTGTGCTATTCCTGCCCAGTACCCAGGCTAGACCTCCCGTGCTAGGCTGCTGGCGACTAAGGACATATGCACACGTGCGGCTAGAGGACAAAAAGGAGGGCCTTCATTCGGAAGAATAAACAGGGGGGAAGAGTAGTAGGGGTGGTGAGCAAGCCATGGGTGATGATGACGGGGGGCAGGGAAAACAGGGGAGGACAGATGCAGATGCAAGACGACACAATGCAGGTGCCGGGAGTGGGTGGTACAGATGAAAAGCCCATCAAGAAACCTTGGGAGACGAGGAAGATGAGAGTGGAGTCATGCTGGGGATGGTGCCCACTTGGGTAACTTGGTGGGGAGAGCTCTACCTTTCCCATTCGGAGGACTTTCGGCTAGGAGATAGACCTTGTAATATTGTATTTATTTATCATGACCACTGACAATGATATCTCGCTTGGTACAAGAACGACCAGTGACATGGTTTCTTGTAGGGAAGGAAAGCTCCCCACCTTTGGATGGCATATACCAAGAAAGTAATATCTACCATTACAAGGGGAAGCAGCCACACAAAGTAGACAGTATAACCCACTCGGGACAACACTTATAGACTCACTCGAACAACGTTCACGCAGTCACTGCACCCACTTGTGCCAGCAGGCATAGTACACTGTACCAATTCATAATAAAACTTCAGCACGGAAAACATTACTCATGAGACTTTTCTCCAAACCCACTCGGATAATTTTACTGTATCAAGAGAGAACGAACCACAATCGACAAACTGGTCAAGAGTAAGTTCCGTTTCCCTGATGAAAAGCGTACAGTTTTCAGCGACGAGGAACCAATAGGACCCCACGAACAGCCCCGAATTTGATATGCCAGGATCCCCTCCTCGACTCCGGGAAGGGAAGGCAGGATGAAGATGGTGGCTGTCAACTGGCTGTCATTAGCCTTGCTGGGCAGTAGTGCAGCCACTCAAGAGCTTGAACCCTATTACGGAAGCTATTTTCGCGAGGCGCCTCATGCAGCCTTTTGCCCAACCGCCCCGCCCCCGACCGCTGCCATTGGACACAATACCTGTCGTGCAGATAAAGGTGAACCTCGATGGGACCCGAAGGAGGAATAGAAGTGCAAGAGGGTGTAGAGGAATGATGCCAAAACGAGACCAGGATTCTGACTTCTGTGCGGCTGTTGGGCTTAGCCTCGTCCTTCTCGCTTCTTCAATCGATGCAGGCTTCCCTCGTCTGATTCCTTTCTGTCAAGGGCCCCTGGCAGTAGTGGAGGAGAATATGGAGATGAAAAAGAGAATCAGAGAAAATATATGAGGGGAACTACCCTAGAAATTTGGAGGAGGGGTGGTCTATGCTCTCTCTGCAGGACAATCCAATTGTCTGTCCCGCTGCACCCCGATACTCGATAGCACCAGCGGAGAAAGGAGGCACCTCGACTTCCCAAGATGGGCTGGCAGTTCCCTGCCCTGCACTTGGACGGAAAGCTAGTTACCAAAGCTACCCCTACCCGGTCGGCAATACGCTTACAGTACTGACCTGCACTCAATATTTGGCGCGCCGTTCTGACCTGCATATTCGTCAATTGTCTTCTCGAACCTGTGGAACCGTGTTCGCAAGCGCAAGAAAAAAAACGTTGAACCTCAACCTTAACTTTATGGGATGGTTCAACAAAGCAAGAGCATCGACTACCCACGGTGACTCGATGTTCCAGCTTGATTCTGTGGTGCCCTGTTTCGCTGCTGTCTGCCTCACCGCAGTGCCGCAGGTATGATGAATGCCGCGGGAGTCGTCGATCTCTTCATGCCGACCGGCCGAGCACCCATTTCTGCTTGAGTGATTTCCACCGGGTTTTTGCTATGCTCATTTCAATTTGCGATGAGCCGTGAACGTGGGGAAGTTGTTTGTTTACAGTGCCTACTGGGCAGGCTGATGGACAGAATGGAGAAACAAGTATTTCGCAACACACGTTCCAAGCCATGTTTCTCAATCCTGCAATTTTCTCCCATTTACTTTTCGCTTTCCCTCCTCGTGATGCGAACAGAACAACCCGGGCAGTCGGCGGTGAGAGCACGCTGTGGCACCAAATGGCTCAAAACAGTAATACCAGAGACTTTGGAATTTCCCTGATTCCACGAATGACGGGTCTCAAAGGGCGGTCTGTCGAAGAGAGGCCCTCCTCCAGCCAGTCAATAGAGTTAAATTCGAGGGCTTTTCGCGGGTGCCACTCATAGCACCGACGACGACTCCATCATCTCAGTCGTACAGGGCATGGCAGCCACGAAAGCAGTGCTGAACGAGGGCAACACCGGTTCCAGCAAGGCTAGCAGCAGAAGAAAAAAGGTGTGGCAGCGCGTGATATTGACATGAGTGGTCGAGAGGAGACGTCGTGATTGAGCTTGCATAGTGGGTCACAATGGGTCCAGCCAAAGAATAGGGCTTGGTTGGCTGCCGTCTCCCGTGCTGGGATTCTCTTAGACCGTGCTTCTGCGGGGTTGAGCTAGCTGCAGGACGCTAGCGAGCCTCCCCCTATCCTAGCCCATGAGCCCGCTTACCTCTTGGTCCTTGCACGAATATCCACAACCCCCCCTGCCCCCCCTGAGGCCGGTCTCGCTAATCCCTTGGTCGCTTCCCGCCCCTACATTTCTTGCATAATCAGCGATAACGAAGGTGGTGTGCCTCTGATGTCGTACTCGACAAGGTCTGCTCAGACCTTAAGGATATTTAAAGAAACATAATTGCGCCGAATCGGGACACTTAACCAACATTTGACCCTAGCGAGCAAATATTGATTGCTAATTTGGTTCCAATTCCCGTTCCTAAAGGAGCCACCCATTGTCAGTTAACCGCCCAATTCAGTTCTATTTTGGGGTCATTACACCGAAACAAAGTTGGCTAATTATTGATCCTTTTTTTTCATCGCATCTTTTCTTTTCGTCACGAGCCTTTTCGTCACGGCTTTCTTCACCCCCACATTCAGGGTGTTCATTTTTGCCTGATCACAGCTTAAGATTTCTGCAGGCATCGGGCGAGCTCCCGCTTCGCTTCTCCTGCCTCACATCGTCATCTCATGCTATTATCCACCAGATTATGCTGTTCAGGGATATTAAGTAGCTGGTCGAAAGGCTTTGTCGTTTTCGCTGCATTGAGCAATTTTTCATTTCGCGGAGTGCGGATCACAGGGTGATGGGCATCGCGATGCGACCTTGGGCCATGTTACTTGGAAATATGATAACATTAACTTCGCCCCGGGAATGCCATCATATAACAATTCCCCAAACTTAATCTCCATGTCAGTCGAGGTGTGCTGCTCTCCCCGCGATAACTCACTCTCAGCTCACTCTCAGCACTGATCGGGAAATGCAATCTGATTGCGATTGCATTGCGTAGCGACATTCTACCCCGCCGTTGGTGCACCGTAGCATCTCCTATCCCGATTAACAACGTTTTGTTCAACCACGCCACTCTTATAATCGTCGTGTCTAGATTGATATTTCAATGCGACGGTGAGGATGTGGAACCAGTCGTCTCGACCTTCGTTCAAATTTTGCGCATGGCTTGTGAGAGTGGAGCAGCAACCACCCGTTTCTCCTCGTTCCACATTGGGTGTTGTTGGGTTCTAGAGAAAAAAGTGCTTCAACAAGACCGATTCGACACGGGAAAATCTCCATCGTGATAACATCATTTGTCTCGCTTCTTCGCTTCTGCAACCAGACCACCTTCGGACCTTCTTTCTCCCAAGTTGACCCGTCTCATGAAAACAATTGAACCATTGGTGACTCGAAGGTGGGCACCTCGCAGCGGATTTCAGTCATGTGAGGGGAGCGTGAGTGGTTCTCTGCGAGATCATTGGCTCAGAGGAGACTTGGATCTTGCAAAGCCTGTTCTTGATTGTCGGAGAACAAGCTAAAAGCGTATCTGTGAAATGGCGGAGTAAACAAAGTAGCATGAAGAACTCGAGAACTTCATTTGTTGCTGGTGGCCAATACATGGGGAATTACGGAAAAAGACGGCCTAGGGAAAAGTCACGCGAACTCGGTACCCCTCAGCTATCAATGTCAACTCGTCGTATCAGAGTTTCATTGCGACGTCTGACGAGCTTGTTGGCTGTGGAAAGAAATGTCGAGAGCGTATGATATAGCAATATTTGCACATCTCTCGTCCCGGTGGAAGTTCGAGTCGAATTGTTGCGATATTAACTTGATCAACCCCAAAGCCTTCTCATGCAGTGAGGTCTCGTCGGTCGAATAAGGGAGGCGTATTTGTGCCACAACGCAGCATCCGCCTACAGCAAACTCACCCGGCTTTGTTTATCCACTGCGATGGGGCCGGGACGGGGAGAATTTGGGAAGAGATGCGATGCCATCAGGACCATCACGGCACAGTGCGTGCATTGTATGGATTGTACGGATTGTATGGAGTGCATGCTGGAAAATTGTTGGATAAATGTGCAGCCAGAGCAACGATAGGTAGACTCGCGATGCACATGTAAGTCAAAATACGGGATGCAATTGTTGTGTGGCCGCGGCTTGCGAGACTTGCGGTCGTTCAGGTTGTCGTTGTAGAGGTGGCGCGGCGTAGCCCCGGGTCGATCCGCAAGAGGGCATCCATGAAGCCAACGCTGAAGCTCCAAGCTCAAGCTCTAAACTTCTTTCTCCAGACCCGGTCGCGGAGATCGTGATAGTTAGCACTACACTACACTAGCACTCCCGCAGCGTAGCCGTCGCTACTAATGATTCCTGCGGTCCGTTCCCTTCCAACGACCATCTCGATCGATGCACCATCATAGGTCTTCGTGATGGGCAGCTTGGAGTTCTGAGAGCACAATCGGCCGAGCACGGGGAGACCTGTATGGAATCGAAAGTCACGAACCCCCTTGGTCGACGGCCCGAAAGAGATGCTTCTTTCCCGTCACTCCCACAGAATGGCTCGAATCTTTGCTGTGTGAAGTTCCGTGAGAGTCTGGTTCGCATCTCGAGGTGGAGGCATTGACGAATAGCAGTCGTCGACGAGTAGGGCGCGTAAACGTCGATAGTGCCCCGCTATATTTGGAAACCCACCAATCAGTCCCTCGCTTAAGACCAGGCACGAGAGTAAACAGGGTGCGTGGGCCTCAGGATTGGCTGCGCTGATGCTCCGGAATAGAAACAGACTTCGAATCCTCTGCAGCCGAAGACGGGGCTGGTGGAGGAAGGGCAGCAAGAGCCGAATCGGGGAGCCATACACCACCCACTCTCTGGCTCGACCTGCAACATGGGGTCCATAGATGCCCATTCTCGTAGGAGTCAGCAACAGCAAAGCTCTTCTCTGCACTGTTTTTATCTGCAGAAAAACTCGCCATTGGTGGCTTCCCCTCTAAATCCTGCCCTCAGCAACCCAACCGACAACGACCGCTTCGCTAGCCAACCGAAATCCCCTGGATGCTGCGCAATCACGCCCATCCAGAATAGTCACACAACGGACAATCCTCATGCAGAACATGCCCTTCCGAAAGCACTGATCACAGTGCAGACTTCTTCCTATCCGTTGCCGGCATATGCTGGCCTATGGCGCTTTGACGGTGAAGCCCTCGATCACCATCCATCACTCTACATATACTCTCCTAACCGCCGCTACACTTCACTCCCTTTTTCTCGTGATGCTTTTGCTCTTTTCTGTCGTGCACCCATTCTGATTACAAGCGATTTCTTATCTCATGCCCATATCATCATACCCAGCGTTGCAATTCATTACATAGAAACCACCGGCAACGGTACCGCTACAATTGTAGCAATCCTCTCGCTCACAGATACCCCACCCTACAGAGACCAGCAGTATGGTACGTTCGATAAGCCCCTTAAGGATCTTGTTGGTGGTGGGTCGAGTACTAACAACCACAACAGTCTGCAATGTCACCAATGCACTTCGACCATAGGTCGAGGGTCGAAATGTTCCAAAAGTCCCAGGCCACAGATTCATATTTCAACATGAAGGCGCTGGCGTCGCAGAAAGAGCGGCCAGTGTCAGAAGCTACTGAAATGTTCGATACGGACTTTGAAGATGATGATAGTGATGTCGAAGAGAACTCACCGCGGCTGAGTGTAAACTCGGTAAGTCAAAGTCATCGCATTTGATGTCGCATCTGCTGATGATTGGAAAGACGGGAAGAAGAAGTGAAACTACATTATCCTCTTTTGAAGAAGTACGAACGCCAGACTCGAACGAATTTAGAGGATTTAATTTGGATTTATCGATGCCCAAGAAACCGGTAGAAGGACCACGAGGACCTCACCTATTCCGAAGCTCAATAGATTCCTCTCTCGGTTCAGACGACCAGTACGTTTTAGCCATGTCTCCAATGACACCTAGACCCTCGAGTACACAAAGAGCAGCATTAGACGCACCCCGAGTTCCACAGATACCACAACAACATCGCCACCTGAGCTCTCTAACTGGTGCTGTCGGGCATCTAAATGAGCGCGAAGTAGCATCGTGGACACCAACAGAAGTCGCAAATTGGATGGCCGATGCTGGATTTGATCCATCCATTGTTGAAAAGTTTGAGGAAAACGATATATCCGGTGCCATTTTAATTACGTTAAAGTTTGAAGACTTGAGAGAGCTTGATATTCAATCTTTTGGGCAGCGAACAAAAGTGTGGAACGAGATACATGTTCTAAGAGGTAGTGCTCCTAGCACACCAAAGCCACCAACTCCTTTTGAGGAAGTGTCATCTCCATGTATTGAATCCCGTCGACCATCAAGACAGGATTCTCGTAATGGACGAGAAAAACTGCGAGTGGATTTCGTATCAGACGATCGCCCGAGTCGTACGACATCGCGAAGACGGCTACCAAAGAGAGATGTCATAACACCACTCGAGTCCGTTTCTATTGTTGGCATCGAACAACTCATCCCAAAACCACATAAATGTTCAAAAGGCGGGAATTGCTCGAAGTGGAGAAAGCAACAACGATTGATAGAGAGTTTCAAAAACGAACACCCCGTCAGTCCAGAAGGTGGAGCAATTTGGGTAGCAGGCGATCCAGGAAATGCTCTCACTGCAGACGCTGTCGACCAAGCCACTCGCCCAATATCAGACGCAGTTCCATCCGTCGTTGCTTCATCTGATGTTCTCGGTCCTGGTCCACTTCCTCAATTCAACCACTTGGAAGAAGCCAGCCTCCGAAATGTTCAATCTCGCGATCCTCAAGACAATGTCAAGCAGTTCATCCAATTCCAGCATATGGATCCCCATCGAACGAAATTCTCGTCCGAGGAACCACCCACTCCCCCATACGAGATGTTCCCAAAGCTACAAGGACCACACACTGGACTTCGGGGACTTCCAAAACTTGCAATCCCACCACCACGTCCTGATCCAGCTCCCAGGTCAGCGAGTGCAATTGCATTCTCTCCATACAGAATGAACCGAGCAGAAGCCATGTCACCAGAACTCCGCAACGTGACTCAATCGCCAGCACACCTTTACCGCTTTGGAACACCTTTCTCAGAAATGGACATCCCAGTAACGTCAGTCAACCTTGGGCCGGTGGCACGAGAAGCCTCCCAATCCGTTCCACCAAACATGTCCTACCGCAACGCACCCACGCCGCCAATACGAACACAATCTCGCTCTTCAGTTCGTCGTCCATCACTTTTACCCTCAATGCCACGCGTAGACGAGTACACCCCCACCGCCAACGCACGCTGCACACCAAGCCAAATACACACCGCCGGTCCTCCACCAATGAACCATGCCAACACATGGTCTACACCCGTGACTGCCATTCGAGCCAGCGATGATCTCGCTCACGCCGGATGGATGAGAAAACGCAAGACCAGAATGCTCCGCCACGAGTGGCACGAACATCACTTCACCCTCAAGGGCACCCGTCTCGCGATGCACAAAGATGCCTCGGCACTAGAAACCCTCGAGTACATTGACGTAGACGACTACGCGATCGCGTGTTCCTCGCTTGCGTCGGGCTCCAAACTCAACGCCGCATTCAAAGCGATGAACATCTCTCGCGGCGATAAGAACAAGAAGGATGAAGCGGCCTTCAGTTTCCAACTTATCCCCGCCGCCATCGAGAAAGGTGTCCGTTTGCGAAAGCGCGAGAGCATCATGGCGGGGAGTTCGTTGGGTAACAAGGAAGATGGGAAGGCGGCGGGAAACAAGACGCATTATTTTGCGGTGAAGAGTCGGGATGAGAGGATTGATTGGATGAGGGAGTTGATGCTTGCCAAGGCTTTGAAGCAGAAGAATGAGGGCTTTGAGGTGAATGTTAATGGGAATATGATTTAAATCATTTCTCCATCTTCCCTCCCCCTCGTTTCTTCCCCCTTGATTTTACGTTTTCCTTGCATCTTTTTATCACGAATTTCCTTTTTTTTCTTTTTCTTTTGCATTTCTGTTTGTTTGTTTTCTCATAGCGATGCGGTGCGAGTTTGATTTTGCCTATTTTTGCTTATCCCTTTTTTTATATATACCAAACCAGTACGCGACGAGGATGCGAAGCAGCGAAGCAGCGAAAAAGAGAGAGTTAAATATCCTATCTATCGATCTATCTATTCTACGCACCTCTCCTCTCCTTAATCTTCTCTTCATCTCTAGTTCCCGTTTCGAACACGTTTTTTTCACTTGCGTTTTAGCGTCTGCGGGATTGGCTTTCAAAGGTGTTTATAAAGTTCGTCATCCCTCTCGGGAATTTTCTGCTTTTCTTGTTCTTACTCTTATCTCACACTTAACGATTTGCCATGTTGAAAGGAAGGTTGTTTGGTGTATTTACTTATTTATTTATCTATCTCTTTTTCTTTTTTGATGAAAAGGGGATAGGAAGGGATGAGAAGGGTAATATATACATTTAGGTTATTCTTAGTTAAATCAGGGTTATGGGTGGAAAATTGAAATTATTTATATATATATATATATAGTGATCAATGTGCTGATATCTCCTTAAACTGTAACTTTCGTGACCCTGTGGCTTTCAAGCTCTCTTTTGAAAAAGAATGATAGTTTGTTGATTATTATGTACACGACCGTGATTATTATTTTTTCTGAAGAAGAAAGAATCCTTTTCCGAGATCAACGGATTCTAAATATACACCCATTGTATCAAAGGATTATTCAGAAGGAAAGGTATTGCTAAGGTCCAGGTGAAATTAACCTGAACGACATCTGCTCAATTTAGTTATCTGAACCTCGAGATAACTATCTAGAATCCTAAGACACTTCAAATTTATTCACGTAATATAGTCTCTATTAACGTCTTCAGCACGAGCGGAAGATGACATAGTACTAGAGGTCAAGTAAGGCCTTGAAAATCATGTGGCTCCGAGGGGATGAATTGTATACAGAAACAACGACGAACTGGAATGAATCAACTTGAGCTCCTTTGCCGAACTAGGAGCTAAGAATTCCAAATCTCAGCGAGATTTGGATCTGGTTCTGTAGGGTGGTGGGGAGTATATACCTTGTATCCTCTATCCTCCATCCAGGTGTTTGTAAGATACTCGAGCTTGGTAAAAACTAGTTTGTCTGCTTTATTCGGACGGTTAGATGAAACTAGACTCGGTGAAAATGATGATGTGGGGGAGAGGCGCTTTATAATTTGGAGAGGAAATTCCTCTAATAATTCGCTTAGGTAATTCTTCACTTCTATTGGGAAAGTCTAATCCTTACTGATGCCAAAGATGGCGTGTCATCCTTGTTGGAAGGTCCTCTGGGTGGTTTTGTATAATCGTTCTGTATTGTCTCTTTGGACTTATTGTAAGTCAGAGAGATTGGAGCTGAGATTGCTTAGAGTATTCTCCAAGCTTTGTGGTATCATTCGTTCCCCTTGTGAGACTGGCGGATCTCTAGACAACATCTAGTGTGCTTATTATGAAGTCTTTGGCGCTGTTTTCTAATTTACATACCAGAATAAGCCCCTGTGTGACCCAATTCTGTATTCGCTCTTTTGAGCTATGTCAGTAAATATAGACTTCGCTCAGCAAGGATTAAAAGGAAGAGTTGTGAAGAATTCATTAAGTTTACTGAAGAAAGACAAGTTGAATTGATATTTTACATCTAGGCATCAATGCTTTTCGTTCCTACCCCTCATCGGTCCACTCCATCGAAGTTTCCTCCTATGCAGATTATTGGTATACATTTACTTCTGTCCTTCATCACAAATTCTCCCTCAACGCCCCAATCGCCTGCTTCCTCTACTTCACACCTCACATGTTTTCTATGGAGAATTCAAAGATATTAGGATGCTCAATTCCCACCTGATTAATAAAATAACCCTTTGCCCCATCATATGCAATTTCCTCATCCTCAGGAATCTCACCAGTCCACATCTGAACTATCTTATCAGCCACATAATGCCCAGGAAGAACCCAAACTAGATGTTTACTGGTTCTCTCTGACTTGCGATCTTGAGCCAAAATAATCCATTGGAACCCTTGCTTCGTAAGCCAGGCTTCCAATAGAGAAGATAGCTCAAGCTTGCCATCACCGTTTTCTAAATAGGTAACAATCTTATGGTCTTGTTGGATATGTACACGTGAATTGTTGGTTCTTATTGTGACCTGGCCATGAATCTCTTTGTGGATGCGGTAGAACTTTCGGGCCGTAAGACCTAAACAAACGGAGTGGATTGGATGGAGCTCGTTCATGATTTGCACAAGGAGTTCTTCGGGAAAGTCTCTAAGAACTAGCTTCTCTTGTCCTCATGTTAGCTTGCTCCTTTCGTGTAGTTGTTGGGTCTTGCTACTTACAATAGGTTCATCTTTTCGTGCTTCAGACATTTCTTCAGATGGCCTTCTGACTGTGGATGGCGATGAAGTAGCCAACTGGTCCATAGATGCAGGAAAGGTTTCTCCACTGGGTAATTAGTCACTCAAAGCTCTCTTTGTGTCCGCTGAGGGGGCTTGTTCGTGCTCTGGCGCTACCCGTGTACAGTTTGATATCGTCTAAGAGTAAAAGACTGACAGAGATCTCGATCTATTTTGAGTTTTTAGTTGAGCGCAGTACTACAATGTTACTGACAGCGAGTCTGCAGAAAGTGGTGAGTGTGCTCAAAGATTATTGTCGGCTCAGCGTTGTTCTGGGATTGGAAAAGTAAATTGTTGGGAAAAGGCGATCTACTAGCTTGTACTTGTAAGAGTTCAATAGAGCTAATCACCCAGAGCGCCATATTGACAAAGGTCACTTCACCTAGCATATACTTGGTGAACAACCTTTTCCCACTTATCAGTGAATTTACTGGTTGTATATTAGGCTGTTTAGACTTTGTCAGTGCTTTTTTTCACATCAATGGTGAATGCACAAAATCCAGAAAGAGTGCGCTCAATGCAGTAAGCCTGCCGGTTTCATTATATTCACCTCCGTATGTTCATATGAACCAGAAAGATTGGGAATGGCTTCATTGTTGTTTCACGTTGAGATGAAATATCTTATTCCACTCAGCTCCATCTAGCTTGGATCCTTTGAAATGGGGTTTATACTTACACTATACAAATCTCTTCACATTACATTGTTTCAGGAGAAGGTATACTATCAATGTGCTAAGATATACAACTCTATTACCATACAAATACTCGCTTATTCTGACGTCCCATTATCCAAGTATCTCAGAGTGTAAACAATAATATGTTTTCTGGCGAAAATGGGAGTTGCTAAGTACAATTAAGGTGATTGACTGTCGGTAGAATATGGAAAAATCCGAATTAAAATAGATGGTAATCATACACTAGAATCGCTTAGATAATTCCTAGTTCTCTGCAAGATACCCAAAAGACGCTTGTAAAGAACCATGTGCTAGAACTCTGTGGATTGAAAAGTAACTAGATTACTCTATCTAAGAGAAGCCAGGAAGGGTATCAGTACTCCTCCTTGAAGTTCCTTCGTCTCTAGCAATTCACCCCTTTCCATAAGACCTATGAATTTCCTGCCTCCAAACTCTCCAAGACCTCTACTGTCTCCATCCCTCCCTTCATGTTTGCGTAAATCCATCTTCTTTATGCATTACCTCTTGAGCTAATAGCTACTGACTACCTCTCCCCACATCAATGGTACGTTTTCATCATCATTCCATTTGTCACCATAATAACGCGGATAAAGTTTTCCAGCTCGTGCGAGGTAGTTAGCATATTCGTTGGACTCCCAAACTTCCAAATTCTCCAGTCCCTCTAGGTTACGTCTAAACTACTCACTTGACAAATTTGTTGATACAAATCTGGGTTTAAAGTAATAAGTGCTGAAATAAGAACGAGTTATTCCTCCAAATTGGGAAGCAAATATAATCAAAGTGAATCCTCGCTCCTCATACCAGTCAACCAGGAGTGTTGAAAGAAATTCGTTTTCGTGACGGCTGTTGAGTGAGACCTTTCCATGGACTGCCTTGTGGATTCGGTGGAACTTGCGTGCCGTGAGAGCTAAGCACATCGAAGGGACAGGGTGAAGTTGCTTGATGATCAACTCGATAACTTCTTCTGGCAAAGTAATAAGAGTCGGCTTCTGAACATTCTCAGAAATCGTAGATTCGGATGAGGTTTTTTCTGTGGTCGCCTATACATCAGTTAGTATTACTCGCTTCTTGACTAAGAGGCTCTGACCTACAGTGTCCTCATTTTTTGGGAGTTGCGAACTCTCATCTGCTGTTTTGCAGATAGTCTTCTCAGGTAGGTCGTCCATTTTGAGGTTGTGGATAACACCAGTAATTCTTGCTGATGTATTGTTGTAGATGAGAATTCACTTTATTGCCTAATCCCCTTAATACTTCTGTGTAGGGTGTATATTTTTATGGCTGGTGACAAGCTTAAAAGTTAATGGAAAGGATAACAAATCTGCGATGTCGAAGAATACGTCACGAAGGTTTAGAGGTGGTATGGTAGATTGGCTCTGTGGTGTGAAAGGACCCTGCTGTTGACAGATGCGGGAGTTGGCAAGCAGAAAGAAGTTGGTCAAGAAGGTTGATAGGAGAGGTGCATTGGTCTTAAGTAGTCTTAGAGCTACGTGGTATCCAAGAGACTACACATCGTAGGGTAATTCACTAAAGATCCTTCAACGTAGTGTCACATGCCTACTGTCTCTTTGAGCCTCCAAAGATTTGGGTGGCAGGAGAGCAGTGAAGTCCAAGATTTGTGCGTCAAAAGTGTTGTGTTTCTCTATAAGACTGTTTGATAAGCAAGTTTATTGTTACCAGAGCGACGCTACAGCTTAATGAGCCTATATATATACAACCTACCAGAGATTATCGCTAGTTGAGAGCTATTGCACCCTATGACCAAGGCTAACGACGAGGTTTTAACAACTCTCCTTTTTCAATACTTATATAGATGCACTGATTTTCAGGATATCATGCCAGACCTATGGTAAAGTTCAAAAGAGGTGATACACAAGGAAACCATCAACTCTAAGCTGTTTGAACCTAACCTTGCAGATCTCTAGCCCATGTTTGTAGTCTCCAGGGCCACAAGCACTTCCAATTACATTAGACCAAGAATTGTATAAATGTTAACTCACCATAGCGAGCCTTGTTTGCCTGTTTCGATGTGACAGCTCAAAAGAAAAACCTTGCATTCTTATGCTCAAATCATCATCGTTTTACCAATATAACAGGTCCAAACCCTTATTACAGAACTCGATAATACTTGCGGAGTAACCAATAGACACCTCATACCACTACCTCTCCCAAGTTTCCTTGTAACAGACTAATCGCTATAAAAGCTTCGGGGACAGAGCCCAGACACACGTTTAAAGCTTATTGATCTAGTTGAAAGTGTCCAGGATTTTTACTTGGAGCTAACGTTATAAATTACATTATTAGCTTATAGGTACATCTCATAGCAGGCTTCTCAAAACGACTCTGAGGAGTTACTCTATTGGTTGTGGCAGTCCCCTGCCCACCTAATATTCTCAGCAGGACGCATATGTTTGGCTTTAGTCATCTAAGGCATGTAAGAAAGTTTTGACTGACCAACGACTGAAAATTAAATTCTCTCAGCGAAAGAAATACCCATGAACTTTCGACAGCAAGAGCCTAAACGACAGTAACTCAAATGTCGTCTTCAAGAAAGTTGCATGATTATAGCGAAAACTCCTCCTTTGGGTTTGTTACATTCTTGGTGGGCGAGCTGAGGGAAGTTGCTCCAACCTTTATGGTACATAGCCAGATTATGCGCGGTTGATACACGAACCGACAGTCTGCGAGAGTCCTCGCGAGCATTGGTCTATTACGTTAGCTGTGGTACGCGAAATTCGTATTATTTTTATTCACATATCATGATGAATATCGATGTATGTACCTTTTGGGGTTGCGTTGTATCCAGAAGGGAGGTTGCTATGCTTGTAGAGTGGTGTTTGAGTCGCCTGAATCTTGGGTTCAAATTACTTGTTAAATTCCCAGGCATAAATTCAACACTCTTGAGACGGTAGTTAGTATAGTCTCCAGTCGGAGAATCGGAGCGCGTAGACAGACGATCTCCACCATCCAGACACAAGGAATTCTACTAGCTGCTTCTCTGAAGTTTGTATTTCTCCACCCTTGAAATGTTCTTGAATTCTAGACTATGCTCATGACGGTTTTACCTGGTATTCTTTTATCCAATCCTTTCAGTAAGCATGCAGAGGACATTAAGAACCTAAATGGGGGGCTAAGGTGGTGGTTATTAGACGTATGGTAGACCAGAGAAACATTATTAGATATTTTCAAAACCAGTCCTACAAACCATGTATTTCTACTTGAGGGTAGCTTCCTATAAGCAAGTTGTATAGTTGTAGGAAACAGACAACCCCTTCTAGCCCATAGAACTCAAACTTTTCACTACACATCGGACCCAAATACCACTCCAGTGGATCAATAACAATAGAGGGCAAATTCATATATTCCATGCATTCAACCGGGCATGTTCAGGGGTATACTCAACCATGAATATTTGACGAGTCAAATAACTTCCCTATCGTCGACATGTGGGTAGTACCATTGAACATGGAGATGGATAAAAGACTGAGGCTCTGAGTGTATCTGAAGAGCGGAAGGCCAAAATTGTCAGACGAGGACTTCAATGCGGAACCCCCTGAGAAGGAATTAAAAAACGATAGTACGAATATGGGCGATCAAAATATTTAGACGCAATTTTGACAGGTGCATAGAATGATGAATGATCGCCTCACAATCAACCTCCAATTTGACGTCTGTAAATAAACGTCATTTTCGACAGCAAAAAATAAAACGACAGCAACTCACCATACAGGCACTCTCCTCTCTAACAATAATTGCATGAGATTTAGAAATTCTTCATTTCTAGGTTTGATCCCACCTGTTGTAAAGACTTGGGACTTATTAGCCACTTGCCAACAAGAACAGTGTGCGGGGAGTCTGGAGTTTCGAAGCGCAAGATGCAGACAAGTCTTATGGTATTTTCAGAGAGCATATCTAGAGTATTTATATTTTGGTTGAAGTTGGGGGGCATTAGGAAGAGTTCTAGCTACTTAGTCCTTACCAAGGCTAGAAGTTAGGTGAAGGTTGGAGCAAGGTGATCTGGAGACAAAGGCCTATGAGAATATAAGCTCATGAGTCTGGATCTATTGATACAACAATTAGGGATTTTGTTTTATAATGCATCTAATCTTCTACTTGCATCAAGTAGTAATATGCTAGACTCATTACTCCTAGACTCAAGCATAGTTCATATCCTAGGTAACAATAGTGAACGGTAAGTACCACCACAGTCTCAATAACAAAAGAAACAACATCTTCGTCCCCAACAATCCAACCCCTCTTTTAGCAAATAATCAGCCAGAAACCTCATTATATCACATCTCTCACCTATCTTCATCAACCCCCTTTTCCTCAGGATATAACACTATATAGATAACGAAGAAAATCCATACCACCAAACCAATATCGCAAGGCCATACCTACAACAATGGAACAACAAACTCTTGGTAATAGCCCTCAGCTTTCACAAGATGTCCAATTCGAGGATCATCTCACTCCTTACTAGTTCAAGAAATCATACTTACCCCTCCTCGCATTATCACTTATCACATGAACCACATCTACAACCTTACATATAAGAAAAAGCAGACACTTCGACAGCAAGAACCTCCTCGACAGCAACCGCATTCCACCATCCCCAAAATCCTCAATGTGCAGTACCATTTATCTTTTATCGGTTTTTGTGATGAGACATAATGAATTAGGGCCACTTACGAAGAGGAGTAGGACTATCTGCCCTAACAATTTACTGAGTTCAACTCAGCAGTCATGGTCTTCTGCAAAGGGTTTTTGGACTACTCATCTTTCATCCCAATATAACTCGTCAACACTTGATATAGATTCCACAGGAACAGAAAAGAAATCCAAATCCATATCTTTAAGACTTATCGAGTGATTTTGAAACACAGTTTCCTTTCACTACGAATATTGGGAAGATATATAAAAGGTAACATAGTACTAGATTCAAGATCAGCTACTTTCTATTTCTCATACAGTACAACCGAGCCTTTTTACTTACGTTCTTATATCGACTTTTTGAAAGATACAAAAACAAGCACGATCATTGCTCATAATTCAAGAAATATACAGTATTTCGAAATCTTTCCATCCCTAAAAAGGTGTCCCCAAGATACCCCAATATACTATTCCCATTCTTCTCCAAAGCAACACAAAAGGTGAACATCTGTCCGTACCCATACACGTGTTCAAACAACCGGCCAGGGTCTCCACGAGTCACCGCATTCACAATTTTCTCTACGAATGAGCGATGGCGTGAAGTGGGAATCGAGAATACTGCGAGGGATTTTTATAGGGGTGAGCTTTCGTTTGAAGAAGTGGTTTTGTGATATGTTGAATCGCTTATAAAGCTGAGGAGTTACAGGTGTATGCGTGAGGGGTTGATGAGTTGATTATAATATCTGGGTTATGTATATACTCGTTCCGACGATTCTATATTAAACCCATCAAAGTCCTCACCTCACCCCTCTAACACATCTTTACATACTCATACCCTCACATCCTCACTCTCTTTATACATTCCCATCCTCCCACATCGCCACCACCAAAAATAAAACACCATAAAAACACACCCCACGAGCCTCGAACCCCTCCCAGAGCTGTGGAAGGACTCTGTTCAGCAACATGTGAATGTTTGCCAGTGTCCCAGACCCACGAATCGTACCCCTCTCGCGATAAAAAGAAGAAGAGAACGTACGTTCCGTTATTTAAGTCATGAATCCAATCTGCACGAAGATACGAAGGTGGAAATGACAGAGGGATAGACGATTCGACAACAAGAGAAAAAACGACAGCAACTTATAAGTTTGGGCTGAGGCCTTTTCCAGATCATCACAAGTTGCACGAAATTGTAACTAGTCTAGCGAGGTTGTGGCCTCTCCATCCAGGAGCATATCCACAGCTTCGAAGAGTTCCATTGGCTCCAGGTTGGCTTTTCCAACCTTTTGGAAGTCATAAGTCATAATATAGCCTAGTAAGCTATCCGGCCACTGAGTATTATCTAGTGTTTTTCCTGATTAGTCGAAGTTAGATAATTATATGTCTTGGTAGCCATTTTTATTGCTTGTTTTGTCTCTTTGAATTCTTGATTTCTTTTTGGATGGTGGATGGTGGATGGGGGGCTTGATTGTGGGCGGTTATTTAGATGGTTGATCAAAGTTATTTATTAGGAAGAGAGGATGTTGGTTCAGGGGGTTGAATGGGGGGAGTGTAGTGCCTGTCGTTCGGTGATTGGGGTGGAAAGTGGAGAAGGATTTAGTCTTTCTCTCTCTCTCTCTCTCTCTCCGGGGGTCTTTTTCATGATCACTTATACAATTCCAACAAGGAAATCACTCAAGAACATTATATCCCAGGTATGACAACAGCTGGAACCGAAATAGCTGGCCCGCTGAAAAAAAAAAGCTTTTATTCATCTACCTATCCAGTACCTATCATCTACCTAGACCCCTTTTGTCCCTAACAATCTTAAAGTAATGAAGAATTTACAACTCCCTCCCCCACCCATCAATCCTCTCCTTAAACTCCTCAACACCCATCTCCTCCCCCTCCCACATCCTACCACCCGGCGTCTTAGGAGGAATAAGCACCTGATTAACCACATGCACAACGCCATCCTTCGCAAGACCATCCTGGACGGCCACACTCGAGAAGCCATTAATCTTAATCGTGATAAAGCCTCCATAGCGCGCCACATCAATACTCAAACTGCGCTCTTTCAACAACGTTGGGAGATCGATGTGGAACAGTCCTTTGGGGATATCCTCTGCAGTCTCCTCATCTTTGCCCGAAGAAGACTTTTCTTTGTAAAAGGCGTCGGAGTACAATGTTTGATTGGCGACTACGTGGTATTCGAGAAGTGCTTTGAGATACTTCTCTCCATATCGCGAGAAGAGGAAGGCGTTTATCTTTGGGCCGAGCTTCTGGAATGCAAAGTTGGAGGGTGCGAAGAGAGTTCCTCCCACATGGTGGGCTTTCTCGATTGCCTCTGCGAGACCCGTTTTCACGAGTCCGAGTTGGAGAGTGCTAAATGTTCCTGGGAAGAGCTCCACGATCTTGAATGCGGGTGGTGGAGGGAGAAGTAGTGAGTCGATACCGTGGATCACACCGTTGGTGCCGAAGATGTCAATCGCAATGATCCTCGCGTAGAAGTTTACATTCAGTGCTTTTGACAAGCTGAGACCAACTCGCAGACGTTGTGGTTCATCGCCGAGAGCTGGTTCGTTGAGAGCCGTGGGAATGGTATGTGTGACAAGCACTCGACCGGCGGGGTAGAGATCAGGTGAAACATGGTAGGTAAGAAGTCTCTTGATCTGTTCTTCCGAAGGTTCATGGTGGTGTTTAGGGATCTTCTCAAAAGCCCTGTCGATTGGTGCGAAAACAGTGTAGTTCGCCGCAGTACCATTCAGTATTTTGACCAAATCTGGATACTTGTTGATGAGTCCTGCAAGCTTCGTTGTGTACTTGCTCGACGCAATGAGCTGGTACACTGTCTGATTCGGTTCATGCTTCTTGTGAGGATTGTGATGTGGTGGGTGATGAGGACGATGTGGTCGATGTTGTGGTTGATCGAAAATATCGAGGTCTTGAGGGGTTGTATGTTCAGTGGAAAGCCATTCGGGCATGTCAAATTTGGTCATCGACATGTGGCATTCGAAAGCCTCCTTTACTTCTCTGCTGGTATCGAGAGCACTGTCAATAGCGTTCTCGGAGAATGCAATTGCATCGTTGAGGGTTCCCTCGATGCCAGACCAAGCTGTTTTGGCAGTTCCTTGGACTCTGTCGAGGAAGCTCTGAGGAATTCCATGCTTTCCTGGCAGCAAAGCAAGTTGCTCTGCAATTTCACCGTCTGGGATGACGATAGCAGTGGATAATGCCACGAATGGCAGGACAGTGGTAGTTAACTTCATCTTGGAATTGAATATAGTTGCTGATGATTAGAAAAGAGAAGGAAGAAGCCAAAGTAATACTGTATAAGCACGCCCACGCTGCAGGTGAGACGAGCAAGGATATGGAGACTTCCGAAAGGTCCGGTTGAAAAAGTATGTAATCAATTGGATAGTCCTCGATACTCTGCAGCTGTAGACTACTGATTATTGAGTAGGAACTGGTAGTACAAAGACCTAAAGCAGTTGAAAAGTCTTTGCGTAAGGCAACACATGCTGTCGTGGCAACCTTAGGATGTTTTAGCTTGCGTGTCTAAGCTGTAGATGGCATCATACATTCCTACGCCTCATCCGGCATAGCGAATCAAAAGAGGCACTACCCCTCGTTACGGCGGCTCGGACAATGCCTTCTCCCGATCTGACACGACGGTAAGAAGTAAGACGATAGATACAGGATATATTAGGATATAGATGTGCTTGGGAGTTGTGAATAAAAAGAGCTTGATACCGCAATTGAATGTCTTCCAGGATGACAACTCTGAAAGTTGTAGGATAATGAATGATGTCATGAGTGATAACGATAAGAAAACGGAATGCGGGGAACCTGAAGGGGGGAATACGGGTACGGGGTAGTGGGGATTTCGATTCACCCGGCGCTCAGAGCTGTCAGATGAATGTGCTATGCGACTCATCAATACTTTGTACCAATTGGACTAGCTGGTAGTAGGTAGTCAATAGTATGCACTTTCTCCTTCCACATTTAGCACCTCATACAAACTCTCCTTTCCAAAAGGGCCCCCCCCAAGAGTCCCTAAAGACTAGAAATCAGCCCAGAATAGATTTAAATTCCGGCCAAACCCTACCTAGCTAGTCGGGTTCAACCCATGCTTCATAATAGGACTTTGTAAAACCTTCTCCCAAACATGAACCATCTCTGTATTCTGATACGATAACCTCACCTCCTCACCGGCTCTCTCTTTCGTCTCTTGCTCATAAACCCGTACTGCCTCTTTCCTACCCTTGGTTTCCGAGTCCAGGAAAGAACCAATATGGTTTACAAGCTCCAACGAGTCTTTGATTGCAAAATTTGCCCCTTGTCCACGTTCTGATTACTATTAGGCATCTGATTTTCGCTTGACTGGGGTATAAGATATTGAAAGGAGAGCAATCTACGGTAAGTCATAGGATGAGCCGCATCCCCAGCCAGCGTAACTCGTCCACTGTGGTTGTCCCACTGGTGTTCAGGAAGACTTGGGTCCCACTGGGTCAATGGACTATACCAAACTTCCTGCTCATCTCCCAACCACCCGAAAGCACTCTTAAAGGGCTCGGCAAAGCACAATTCAGCAAGAGCTTTCACCTCCCCAAGGTTCCCCTCGTTGGGCCACTTCTTACATTTCTCTTGTTCCGCAATCGGTTCCTTGTACGAGATATAACAATTCATCACCCACTCCTCAGGCACATCCTGATCAGGGGCAGAATGTGTACCCAACCAACCAAAATACCCCAACGGATGACAACAAGCGAGGAAGAGCGGGTGCCCAGAGCGCAGGTACTTGACTTGTTCAGCGGTGTATTTTGCTTGTACCCAAAGGGCTGCGTATTCGAGCCTATCTAACGCTGCTTTCTCCTCCCCAAGCAGGAGATTCCGGACCTTGGATCTTGTACCGTCTGCTCCGATCAGAATAGTACCACTAACAGTCGTCCCGTCCTCAAAATGCGCTGCCACGGTACTCCCATCTTCCGTGTAGGATATTGTGGAAATAGCCTTGTCATATTGAATCGGAATACCTTCGGCAAGCAAAGCTCGCAGCTTGCTCCTTTGCACACGATAAAGATGTGGTATAAACGCAGCTCCAATTTCAATTCCCGTTGCACCGTTAAGGAATCTGAGGGTTTCGGAAGGTTGAACTGGTCTGTGAGGATCAACTCGTGTAGATGCTAGTTTAGCGAAGAGTTCTGGTGGCATCAAATCTTGAAGAAGAGGGACGCTCCAGTGGATTCCAAAGTTCCAATCTCGTGCGCGTTGAGCATTTTCTGGCTCGGTTTCGAAGACGACGAATGGGATTTTGGCATGAGATATCATTAGTTTGGGTTGCTGGCTTTATGAGAGGAGTGAGGAACCTTTTTCAGGCCCTGTGCGAGGCTCAATCCTGTGCATCCTGTGGCATAGCCATTAGTTGTGGTTTTGCTAATCTCATAGCGGGTGGAAGGATGTCAGAAGCATTTGCTCCGAGTGTATCAAAATAGTGTAAGATATGCTCACCAGCGCCAATGATCAAAACAGGCAGCTTGCAGGTGCCATCCATATGTGACTCTGGAAATGAGTTCGCATCCATCTTTTCCTGATTAAGCTTTCTGAGCTGTTATGAGTACTGGAAAGGAGAGCCTGAGAAGCTCAATGAAGTCCACGAATTCCATCTCAGCAGAATAGGAGAATGGGGTGAACTGCACACCAATTTCTCATAGGGCCCATTTGTCAGACGCCCCATCACTAAGTAAGAACTTGGTGCGTGATCCGTTTATGGGGTTGATGGTGTGTGGAAAGTGTGGTAGGTTTATCCGCCTAAAAACGATTATATCCGATATCCGATACAGCATTTCAGGAGTATCTTCATCAATCCTGAAGAGTACCACAAGGATTTACGAAAGCAGAAACTTCCTTTGCAAAGCAATTTTCGGCCACATCATTCGAAGTGGAAAACTCCTTGGTTTAATTTGACGGTTCTAACCATATATTATACTCGTATCCTGATCGCATTTTTTCTTGCGAGCAAGTGAAAGGGGTGGCTCCGAGGTTAAGCCAGTAAAGTTGGAGGCTGTGAGTTTGAGTGGGCCATATTTCTTTCTCTTGGCAGCCATAGTCGCAATAGCCTGGACTTACAAACTTAAGGAGAACGGGTGGACTGGAACTGTGAATAGGAGAATCTCTTTTCCGGGTTGTGAAGAACCGAAAAAAGACAAATGGGGAGTTCTTTTGTGTTGCACGTGTAGGATAGCTGTCAGTCAGAATAAAAACCCGGAGAGATTCGTTTGAACACGATAGAGATAGAAGGATGAGCGACCTCGGGATAGTCTGATGGTGTGGTGTGATGTGGTTGTGCCGTAGTAAACGACTCGGGAAGGAGAGAGAAGAAGTTACTGATGGCTTGCAGATGGGCTGGGCGCTTCAACTTGCTCCTGGGACTTGTCTTTTGTACAGAAGTTGATCTAGTGCTCATATAATGATTCGCGACTCAAAAGTGACAGAAAGCGGACCAAAGTAATTGGAGGGTATTGCAAAATTTCAAGGTTGTGTATTGCAGTAGGAAAAACATGGGATCTCCATTGGAAAGGGGGGCAGAAGTAGTGGATCTACATAACATGGCCCGTGCACCTATCGTACTTGAACTCAATGTTTACAATCGCGACCACATCTGCCTAAGTACTTCATTGAAGAACTGCACATCCCATCCTACCAAACCCGACACCAAGAACCTCCTCATATTTCGAGACAACCATCCCCAATCCGCAATGTCCTCCCGACTCCCAACATCTCGTCTCTCCACTGCACCCAGCAGCAACAAAGCCCGCCAACTGGTACCTCCCCCTCATCCTCCCCTCAATCACAAAACGATTCTAACACAAACCACCCACAGTCACATCTCCACGCTCAACTAGCGCAGTTGTCTGCCAATCTCTCCGATCTCGAGAACTTGCTGCGGATGACCAGTGTACAAGCGGAATCGGTGCGGGGCTTGGGGGCTTTCCATGGGGGACTGTAAGTTGCTATCTTCCTGCGCCAATCTTGCTGCGCTGGCGCAAAGTTTAGGATCATAGAAGGAGGTGATTGGAGAGGGCGTTTAATGAATCTGGGCTGATGATAGTGATATAGATTTATGGCTGCTAGTAAAGTTCTTGGGGAGGAGACGATTGCGGGGAGTAGTCAGCAGGCGCAGGCGCAATCGCAACAGCAGCAGAGGAGGGGAGATGATAGTGATTAAGGCTGGCTTTTAGTATGAGGCATCATGACGTTATGATGTTATGATATGGAAGTCGGACCGTGCATTTTTGAATGACCGGCGGGATAGGAGGACGAAATGGAGAATAGGAGAATGGATGGATACACCCCGGGTCAGTGGTTGCGTGCTGCCAGAGCACGACAGAAGAGAAGCCTCAAGCCAAGGGCCGAATAAGGGGACACTGGAAGTATAATCCGAAAGCGAGTATTAAGGGGATATTTTGTCCACGGATTAAGATTTAAGTACTCTATGGGATTGGGGAGTCCCGGGGGGTTTTCAGATACTAGGTAATTCCCCTGAAGACAATATGATTGAGGCATATGTGAACAACCAATTCTCACCCTGCTACAAGCTTTCTGATGGTAACATCAGCTTCTCATTCCATTCTGTCAATTCGTGTCTGGCATTGACTATTTGAGTAGATGTTTAAACCAAGTCGTATACGTTTTCTACGGTAACTCCTCTTTATAGTTTTACAATTTCCTATCTTTTCTCCGTCTTCCATGAAATCTAATACCCTTCAATGAATCCCCTCTCTGATTTTCTCCCACACCCCCTGTTTTCTCTCAGACAAGCGTATTGAGAGTTACTACCTCTGTTTATAAGTTCAGCAGTCGTACAGGATTACAGCTTCAGCTCAAAACTGACTTTGAAAGACTGGGACATAGGCTAATAATGATTCATGAACCAGAAAATAGGACATCATCAAGTAGTAACTTACTGTCTCTCAAGAAATCATCTACGTCTACATTTCTCCTTACCATTTTCTTAGAACAACACTCACTTCACTAGTCCAATTCAAAACACCATGAATCCCTCACGTGTTCCTCTACACCCATGCTTGACCTCACAAACCCACATCAGCAGAATCACCAACTCCCACTCTCGCCTCAGAATCGTATATGACCAATATTATTAACATTAATTCATCACCTAATCATCAAGATCACTTAAATCCAAAAAGCTCCTCTCAGCGGTACTAACTGGACTAATCCACCCTCCCGCCTTCAATCTTACATCTCTCTCTCTCCCATCTCTTTCTCTTCCATACCCATCCCGACCCAAAACATCAGGTGTCCTCCGTCCAACCCGCCTATCTCCTACACTCCCACTCCTCGCATTGCGCAGCTCCTCGTTCAAACTCGTGTTGCGACTCACCGTCCGGTTGGGAATCGTAGGTGTATTCCGTCCGAACGAGGAGACGGGTGTGTGTAGTTCTCGTGGGTTTTGGTATATCAGATCGGGGCTTTTGGTCCGAGATACTGGGGAGAGGGGGGCGGAGCGGAGGGTGTTCGCGGAGGTTGTTTGGGAGTGGGAATGAGAGTGTGGTGTAGGGGAGGTTGTAAATGTTGATGTTGGTATGGTAGGCGAGGAAGAAGAAGATGGTGTTTTTGACCTCGTGTGGGTTTGGGGTTTGGTACTTGCTTTCGTGTTATCGGGTCTCTTGACGCTCCCAGCATCCATCTCGAATTTCACTGTCGCGTGCGTGTCCATTTCATGTGGACCGATGCTATTCACGCTATTTACATGGATCCTTTTCCCAGGATGCTTTTCCGTCTGCGCTCTTGTGCGCATTTCTCGCGCTCGCTGTTCGTGGATTTCGGGTGAGAGGACGGTTTGCAGACCATCGCTGCCGGGGTATTGTGTTGTTGGGGATAAAGGGGTGAAACTTTGGTGTTTGGTTTTCGAGGCGACATTATTCTTTATGGATCGTGGTTCTCGTGATATTTCTAGGATGCCGGTCTCCGGGTGGTGGGAGTCCCGGTATAAAGGATGGGTTCGTCGTCGTCGCTTGATGTGTAGACTTGCTAGGAGAACGATGATGATTATTACTGTTAGGACGACGCTTATTGTTATTCCGGCTTTGGCGCCGACAGAGAGTCCTGAAGAGGAAGTTGTGGATGTGGCTGAGGGGGTTGGAGGTGTTGCTGTGCTTATTGCAAGTGCGCTCGGGATCTGGGGCACGCTTCCTGGCAAAGAGTTGGTTGGTATGGAATTGATGCTTGCAAGAGCAGATACTTCTGGATTTGAGGTTGGGATTGCCGGTACTGGTATGGGAGTGATGGTTGTAGTAATTCGTGCAGGATCATCTGCAAACGAATATCCAGAGATCAGGAATCCGGTGACGGTTATCGCTCCCCCATTTGTATTTTCCTGTCGTACTACGTTATTTCCCGACATATTCTTCACCACAACTGTTTGTCCCGCTGGAACCTTAAATATGCATTTGTTATCAGAACGGTAATTATACAGGCTTTGGAATTAGCGAGGTCTTGGGGTGGTGAAAGCTATACACTCACGAGGGGCAGCAGGCTACAATAGCACTGATCTTATTCAGACTAGCTGTAGCTGCTTTGGTATATAGCGAAGGACAGTTGAACCCGCCTAGACTCGTAACCGTCGTGACACCTGTCTGTTCCCATGATTTGGACACCTCCAGCGGCAAGCACTGCAGGGCATTCGGGATATTCTTTGCATAGAACGGGTCGAAAGCTACGATATCCTGCCCACCAGGTACCCGATAGATCTCCGACGAACACTCGGGTGGAGCAGAGACGCCCGGTGTTGTGAGAGGTAGCCAACTTGTCGTAATTCCATTATTGACTTCGGATGGACGCACCGTCGTTGACATATTCGCGACTCAACTGGCGCGCGAGTAACCAACAGCACCGAAGGTGTCTACGAGGGGGAGTGGGTACCATGAGACTTAAGAAGAGAGCTTCAGCAGATTTGCCCTGGCACACATACATACACATGTCCGCGGATGCAACACAAACACAACCCGCCGAGCACACACACACAAAGCAACACTTCCGTACCGAACAGTCAGCCTCGATCGTACCCCCATCGACATTGCATCTCATCGCCGGTGGGCGGGACTGACCAAAGTCCAAATGCAACGTCGGCAACCAACAATGGGTATCATTGCATGGATTGCTCTAATGCCGCTTGGGGGCGAGGGGTCGGCTGTTGGCTCTCCAATGGCTCTCATACGTGGTAAGCTGCCAGCAACCAGTAATCAGCCCATCTTCGCCGTTACCCCTGGGACCACTTGGAGGGGACGACGAGGGGTAAGAAGATGGGGGGCCTAAAAGGGATCTTGATTTCGACAATCGTGAACTCTCACGCGCGCTGTGCCGCTTAAACGCGTAGAGGCCAGCTCTGGATACTGTTTTTTAAGCGTCGATCTTACATCTTACACCCAAAAGAGTAGGTGATGCAGAATCTGCAAGTAAAACGGATGATACGCTGGCAGAAACCGCTGAAGAATTGACTTGGAGAAAACATGAAGCAGAAAAAGAATGGTAGAGAAACACATCGAACGCCAAAACAACAAAAGAAGAGATGATGCTCGTGGAGAGCTTGTTCTGTACTCGTAAAGAGCCCCGTCCCCAAGACTTCAAGGGGGCCGTGAGCGCGGGTCGAGATGACCAACACAACGTTGTAGCTCTGTTCACACGTGGCTGAGCCGTGGTAGCTGGGGTAGACATGGGAATCGGAAATGAGGAAAGGATTTCGAGGTTGCATTGGATGCAAGAAAATGGGTGAGCAAAATGAAAATGTTTGAAAGGGGCAATCGCTTCAAGCCTGGGTGGAGCTCAATGGGTGAGAACCGCGAAGTTGGGTTTATTACCCCACTCGCATCATCAATCTTCCGAATCCGAAATTGCCTTGCCTGGGCAATCTAGAACGGGTTCGTATTTTCTCATAAAGAAATCTAATAGTGCGTTAACGATTGTTTCTGAAGTTGAATTCTTTCCTGGGAATTCTCCAAGGTTTTTCGAAGGCGATGTAGTTCATTGAATGTGTGACGAGACCCGCCGTATGAGGTTTTCTTCGGAGAAATCGGGCAAGGAGAGCAGTTGGGAAATGTTGTTCCAACGTCTCAAGTATACAAAGTGTATCAAGAAGGTTGCAATACTAGCAGAGAGAAAGAGCTCAAGACCGGGTGGTTGGAACCATGGGAGCTTGGATTCGCATCCTTTGCAAAACTTTCCGAGATCAGTGCAGTTGACCAGGCAAGTGGCAACCCACCTTCTCCACAAATCATTCCTCCCCGTTGGTTGCCTCACTCAGCAAATCTTATTGTTCCCTCGTGGCAATTCGCCATCTCAGCTCTTTCTCGAGTGAAAAAGAAAACGTGGAAGGTTCTGGGGTTATCCGGGAAGTGTGGGGATCCTGCCCGATTCAGCCATCTTTCGGTGCTTACATGGTGTGAGGATGAAGTTGTTATTTTTCGTTCGGCCATGGTCGATCAGTTAATATATAGGATCGGCCAGGCATGCCTTGTTGTGCCTATTTGAAGGACCACGTTCTGTTTTCATTGTTGGAGATCTAATACGATCGACTCGTAAATGACACTAGAGAACCATCAGGCCAAGTACTTGAAGATGACGACTGTTGGTGGCGATGACCTCTTGTGAGTACAGTATGTTTCATGTGCCGCGTTGGGACTGTTGGATCTGAATCCAGACCAGCGTTTATGCTGAAGATTGCAGAATAGGAAAGAATGTCTATTAGATCATGTGTCACTGTTAGACCTTCGGGACGTGATCAAGCGAAGATTCTAAGAGGATCAGAGAAACTTTTTTATTTTGTGTGGATATTAAGTATTCTAGTTACTTACTATCTCTTTGTATCTTTTGCTAGGAGGCATGGGATTAGTATGTATGTACATGTGTTTATTATAAGAGTCTCTACATATAGTCTTTTCTTAGTCATAACTTTTCTCTAACCTTTTTTATCATATCATCACAATTTTCTCCGCGCGGAAATATTACAAAGCAGGTGTTATGTAATGAAGCAGCTGGGCCTGCCGCCTATTCGTCTTGCCAATTGCGAGTAAATTTCTGTTTGATCCTTTCGGAAACAGAGACCTTGGGTTCCTTCACCTTGACTTCATAAAGGGCCTTATGCTCAGTTCCCACATCATGTTCATCTTCGTAGTCGACATGCACAAAGGCTCTCTCTACATCGGAAAGACCTTCCAATTTCCTCTGGAGGGTCTGAGAAACATCATGAGTCACTTTCAGAGTCTCATGTTCCGACATTATGACATCTACTTCGACGTAGAATTTATCTCCGGCGTGATACGCACGAGCCTAGAATTATTAGCAAAAAAAGAAAAGAATACCTGGAAACTTTGCTCACCGTATCGATCTTCTTGATTCTGGGATCATGGGTGACTGATACATAGACTAATTTGTTGAGGAAGTCTTGAGGAGCGGTTTTGCCGACCAAATACCACGTATGTTCAAAAGCAGTTGAAGCCCGTGAATACAGAATGAGTAATGCGATACACTGCTATTTATCAGAACCTGGTTCGCTAGTATGGACGTATGGGAAAGGGACTCTCTCTCAACAAGAAGGGGGCCTAAAAAGGTCTAAAAGGAAAGATAACATACGATGGCACCCGTTGGGTCCAAGAACCACACTTTCGCGAACCGTGTTCCGACTATGGATATGTTAAGACCAAAGAGGTTGACAGCAATATCATTTCGATGGTCGATCATGAAGATCCGAGCTGCGGGATATCTTCTTAGAAGGAAGCAGTACACAAATAGAGTGCCCTTTGAGAAAACTATCACAGATCAGTTTGGAGAAGTCTCATGGTAATTGCGAAACATAGGAGCCGAACTTACTAGCTATCGATACAAATATGATCGGAATGACATGTAACTGTTCCGCTTCGGACGGACCTTTACCCAGTGATCGTGCTGATTCGATCTATTTGCAGGTGTAAGCCAAGGCTCAGGCACAAGAAGTGTAGGCACTTACGATTAATTGTACAGATACAGTTGTCATCAAAGCGCAGAAGAGAATGATTCCGACAGTTTCAACACGCTTGCGTCCCTGGGTTATGGGTAAGTACAGCGTTTAGTATAAAGTGGAAGGGAATACATACCACCGGAAATTTCTGTACGTTAGGCTTTGCTGCTAACCGAGAGGTAACAAGCATAACTATGGAGCTGACAAGATCCATCTAGATTTCGAGATAGATTAGCAATGCAATATTGATTCTTGGGATACATGGGAACCCACGAAGGCATCGGCAGCAGTTGCAAACAACGAAAGAGAACCAGTAGATACCGCTGCGTACAGTTGGATAACGAAGAGGCAGAAGTTAACCACAAAACTGGCATTGACTGCAAACTTGACCTTGCCTCCATTCTTCAGGGTGTCCTCGATTTCTGCCTGTTCTTCCCCATGACTACCCAAATAGGCATCAATCAAGGCGTTCTGTCGATTGTAGTATTTCTTTGATCTTCCTGGTTTTTCCACGAGAGCGCTTTATAGGTATGCCCTGAGTTTCGTTATTCAGAAGGTCCTCTCTTTTGTATCCTTGAAGCGCGTAAGGATCGCCTGGGCTGTTGGATGTTGAAGATGGGGATATCTCGTCAATATCTGTCAATGCGGTGAAGGACGCCTTCGGTTGAGAGCTAATGGCTTCATTTGTTTGTGGCTGAATATCCGCTGTTGGATCATGTGTCGATGGTCCAGTCAAAGATGTATCGGTGGCCGAAGGTGCCATGAAATTTGATTTGGAATCCATCCGATATTATTGAGGGTTGATAACGAAAGTTCAAAATTTAAGATGATTTCGATCTAACTTGATCGATGGTTCCGTGGAAGATTTTGGTACAAAGAAGCAATTCTTTGCTTTAGGAGGTTGTATTTCCCGGAAATAGAACGGGACGAAAAGTCATCGTGAACTTTTGTAACGATTCCGTGGCTCAGACTTATATTGAATTAGGAGGCCTAACTCGAAAAGAATTATAGTAAAGGACTCCCTCGAGTGGCAAGATTCGATTTCTGTCTGGGAAACTCTGCTGTCCAATACCAAGATCACTGGTGTATCATAAGTTCTGGAATACTATGGCTGGGAAATTCCGCTGTTTAATACCAAGATCACCGATGCATCATATGTTTTGGAATACTAAGGCTGGGACGTTGTCTTCCTGGCTAGAGTCCGAGCAAAAGCAACGGGTCTCCATTTTCGGCTACTCTGAGGGCGAACATCTTTTATTCCATACAGCTCAGATGTAGAGTACCTTTGAGTTTGATGCCTGAAGAGGTGTACTTTTCAGATGAAGTCTTAGGGTGTTTTACTTAGGCTCTCTGCCCTCTGAGACCTTCTATTTGGGGAAACTTCAATCAGAAGATCGGATTATACAGTGCTCTTGTGCTGTTTCCAAGAAAGGTTTAAATGGACCGATCTTTGGAAACTTACATCGGATATATAAAAGGTTAAATCACTTGTAATGTATAGTACTGTCCTTCGATGAGAAGTTTTCGCTGAACAGTAGGTCTCAGAGGGCTCAGGGTCATAATAAAACACTCTCGCTCCTCAACTGAAGATATACATTTTCTGGAAAGTTGCGGAAACAACACAAGGGGGGCTGTACAATACTGAATATAGGATTAACCTTTCATCTATCAAAGCTGTGTCTCTGAGGGTACCAGTATGGCTATTTCACTCCTCCAGTGTTTAGGTTGAAGGTTTTGTAGGAATCCAAATCCTAAAGGGGGGACAATGCTAAGTAAATAATAGAACAAATTACGAGATAAACAACGTGATGACGAATTTCAGCAACCTTAAAGTTGTAGAGCTCGGTACTTGGGCCGGGAGTTGCATCCGGGATTGCCTTTATGTGGCAGAAAATGGTCCGTTGGGTATGCTTGCCAGCAAATGTCTGTGTTTTCGTTGGGTCTCCATTTCAGGAAAAGTCGGACCATTCGCTTAACTGCGCCAAGCCACGCGCATGGAGGCCAAGGCTGTCTTCAAAACTCCATAACCCCTGCTTCATGCCTTTCAACTTCGATGATCACTTTCTAGGTTTTTGGCTCACCTCCCCGCAAAGTATCACGGCACAGCTCTGCACATCCCCCTTGGCGGACCCGCTGATTGGGGCTCACGCTTGCGCACTTGCCTTTGCGCGGACCACACGCTCTTGCAGGAACTAATCGTCTCTGTCATAGTGGGTTTCGTTTTGTATTATCCCAAAATTGCACTCTCACACCAGAAGGAGTGAATACAAGTTAAAGATCTACCGCAAGGGTATCCTAAGGTATATTTTGTTGGCAGTAAAACTACACTCCCACTTAACTCTTTTTTCTGTTACTTCTTTTACTTCTTCAACGCTTTCTAATTAGATAACTAGTAATCAATCCTTTACTTTGCTGAGCTAAAAGACTTACAGATATTTGAAAGAGACCTAATGTATTAACCGAATTGTCGTAGATCATCAGGGAGAGGGCCAAATCTGGTCTTTCGAATGACGCAGGGCGTCGAGATCTCTAGATTTGACAGACAAGGCCTAGAATAGACGGAATCGATTAAATGGTAGCCAACATGGCCTGTGCACATCTAGCACAAAACGTAGGCACTTAGCGATCTTCATACTACAAAAAAACCAAAAATCATATCCTACTAACCCCAACGTCTAACCCTAACCTCAACTCTAGCCCTAACCCCAACCCTAACCATCCTATCTTAAAATTTCTACTTCTCTTAGTGAAAAAAATATAGGGTGTTCTAGTAGTATTTTAGTAGTGGAGAAGGTCTGGGGAGCCTTGTAGTGGCCAGTACGTAGGCTTATACATGCATTATTTATGCTAAGGTGGCTACCATTTAATCGATTCCGAATAGACTAGTCCTAAAAAGGTCCCCCCTTGCGGAGTATAGCAAAGATCTAAAAAACTAATCTTAGAAACCTAGCTCGGATATATAAAAGATTAATATACTTAGAGTGCAGTCTTTTAATTGGAAGTCATTACTAAGTAGCGCGTCTTGGATGTCCGAGTGCCTTAGTAAAACACCACCGCTCTTTATATAAAGATATACCTTTTCCGGAAACTTAGCAGAGACGGCTATAGCTACATGGCTCTATACTTACATAAACGCACATCCTATTACTGGTGGTCCGAGAACGCAATTAGGATAATACAAAAACGAAACCGAGTACCTCAAACTGACATTCGCGAATCGCCGACGTCGTTCATCTCGTTACAGTGTCTTCAATCTTGTTTCTGGGAAAAGCATACTTTTCAGTTGAAGTAGTAGGGTGTTTTACATAGGTTCACAGTCCTCCTATTATTAATAGAACCCTCTAATCAGAAGACCGGATTGTAGATGGAGTTGACCTCTTATATCAGAGCTGCGTTTCTAAAGATGTGGCCAATTTAACTTTTTCCGGCGCTCAGCTTGGAGGTACTGTACCAGTATCTTATCGTTACTTTCCCATCATGGAATTAGCCTTCTGGGTAGCCCTTGCATTGTTATATCTTTTTATTGACGACATCCACCCACCCGCAAGCTTCGATCGACGACTTCTGGGGGGAAGCAGCCCATATCACAAATATGTAACTAAACGGCAGACCAATTTCCGGCAAGTCAAGGCAATGACTTTCGCCTCTTAGATTTATTTTCTAAATCTGAAGTGGTCAAAAATGGAGTCTCGCTGGGTACTCAAAGATGCAGGTCTCGATCCACGAAGTACAACAGGTTGAACTTTCTTTTCTCGCCGAGCCTTGGTACTCGCATCAAAGCATTCGGGGAACCAAAATTAGGAATTGGCCATTCTGGTTAGTGTTGCTAGAAGTCGGACTTGTAGCCTGGCACACTTTTGGCTTCCAGTTTCTGGTCTCATAGGCAACTCGAACCATAGCCCAGGCTTTAACAAATCCTCCAAATACTGTCGTTTCTCATGAAAGAACTTTGCTGATAAATTCCTCCCTGTGATGTACTAGGTATCAATTTCGAGCAAGTTACTCGCGTGATAGTGCATGAGAATGTACAATCGTGAATGCGAGTTAGCTGGGAAATACAGTTTGATATATCGATATTCTTGGCGCCCTGCGGAGTTTTTGCGACTGGCAACTTCTTAATAGAATTGAGTTTCAGTCCCAACTACTCATCCGATAGTTCTGTGGATTGTTGGCCTTTAGCAAGGTAGTCCTGTACAGCTGTTTGGTGTTTTTCTGTCTGGCACCTCTCCTCAGCAGCAAACTGAAAAAGTGCTTTGCCTGTCAAACCTGACGATCTAGGGCGCATAAATTCGCAACCCTCAGCTGTACTACAGACGTTATTGCTTTTGGAAAAGTCACTCGTCTTGAAAACCCTCTGTAGGCACGAAGTGCAGAATTGTTGCACATTTCCTAGATCGTAAACCAAGCGTTGCTTGTCCGCATTTTTCCCGATGTCATCGCAACGATTGTAACTGTAACATCAATATCCAATTCCATTATTTGGCCAAGAGGCTCAGTGAAATTTCAGATAGTTGCTTAAGAGCTTTGCCAAGTGACGTTTCTACCAAATCTTCTGTTCCAGAACGGATTTCTGCGGACACGTGATGGAGGCTCGGCTCAACTTGCACAGTTTTGTGGTCAAAACTTTCTTTTTGCTCTTTGTTGAAACTGAGTAGTATAGCAGTAAGTAGGAAATTTGTGCCTATCTTTATCCTTTTGTACCATGGTGGGAATCCTCCGGAAGATTTCGCTGACGAAATTATAATGTTTGCTGAAGCTTGTTGCGAGTTCCGAGTTAATCAGGTATCACCATCCAAGCCAACGTTTCGATGGCAGGTAGATCATAAGATTAGCTTAACTCTTGCCCCTATACTTATATGTTGCATGCCCCAACACCTCCGATCTTAGTCCTCCACCTCTGTGCGATTTCTCTCCTTTCTGTCATATATTCTGATCTGGCGAAGCTGCGCTTTACATATTTCTTTACTTTTGATAATTTCAAGTGGGCAGGCTCACCTCTGTCTCTATATTCGCAATGTCAGAAATGGATGGGGTCGGTATGCCTGGCGGAATGATGGAAATGAAACCTGAAAAGCCCAAGTGTGGAGGCGGTGCTGATAATAAAGCACCGTACGACCTGCCCCTACATGTTGTCGCTCTCTGTAAGTTCTCTTGGTAACCTCCATATGTGTCAGACGAAATTTGCTCACAATATTTCCAGTTATGGTGTTACTATTCAGTATAGCAGGTAATTCAGTTCCACTGGCGCATTGATAACCGCTAATTGTCCCAGGTGCCGGTTTTCCCGTCGTTGCAAAGAGAGTTAAATGGATGAAAATACCACCAAAAGTATTTTTTGCATGCAAGCATTTTGGTACCAGGGTCTTGATTTCAACGGCCTTTGTTCACGTGTGTAAATTGGTACCACGTATCGAGATTCTTACTGACGAGCTCAGCTTATCCCAACTGCTTTTCAGTCTTTAACTGACCCATGTCTTCCCGATCTTTTGACCGACGATTATCCAGCCATGCCTGGTGTCATCATGATGGCTTCTCTTTTCGTTCTTTTCTTCATCGGGGTGTATCTCAAGGGAAAGACTGGTGGACATTCCCATGGCGGTCATACAGGCGAGGTCACGATGCAAGGAGCTCCCCCAGGGTTTTCTACAGCACCACCAACCTAGCAAAATCAGGCAGTATCATGGTCTGATGATGATTATCTCAACGAGAAAGATATGGCGTTCGCAAGGTAGACACGCTCTTCCTTATATACTTCAGGCTTCGTCGCTAACGCACAATTGAACAGAGAGTACAGGATTGATGATTACGGACTTGCAAATGGTTATCCCAGGGATGACAAGCGATATGTTTCTCGGTCCGAGATGCCCCCATGGTTTCAGGTGTTTTTCGCTAGTTATGTTCGACAACGCGAAGAGTTGAAGAGGGCGATTTCTATGGTCGCTAATCAGCAAAACGGCTCATCTCAAACGAAAACCCAGCGAATCATTGAGACCATCGTGCCTGTCAACAACAACAATGTCCTCTCTGCTGATCCTGAAATCGACGATGATACATTTAGGAAGATGAACTTGAACATCACTCTTTTGGAAGGAGGAATTCTTTTCCATTCAGTCTTTGTGGGAATGACAGTCTCCATCACCACCGATGGTTTTATCGTTCTCCTCATTGCCATCTTGTTTCATCAATTCTTTGAGGGCCTTGGTCTCGGAAGTCGTATCGCAGCTGTTCCGTATTCAAAAGGCGCAGCTAAGCCATGGGTTTTGGTTGTTGCCTTTGGGACTACAGCACCAATTGGCCAAGCTATCGGTCTTATTACTAGAAACTCTTATGATCCTACCAGTGCTTTTGCACTTATAATTGTGAGAACCTTCAATGCCATTTCGTCGGGTCTCCCCATCTTCGCGGCAACCGTGGATTTGCTTGCCGAGGATTTCCTTTCCGATGAAGCTCAATATCTTTTGATAAGGAGCATGAAGATCCAGGCCTTCATCTACCTTCTTTTAGGCGGTAAGTCACGACGCCCTCATCCAACTTTGACAACTATCTTAGCCGCGGGTATGTCCATCGTCGGCGCCTTCGCATAAATAGAGCTCCTCAACCTCTTCCTGCGCAACAACAACGGTACACGCTCACTCAATCCCCAGATCGTTACATCAGATCGTCTACAAGTTTTTTACAGCACAACAGGCTGTGTCACATTAAACAACGTATTTGTCAGATTTGCGCCGGGGAAAAGATTTTAGTTAAAGAAGGGAGGCCACGCTCATTATTTCAGACACGAACCGCAAACGACATGAGTGTCAGTTCAATCATTTACAATATGAGCTGTAATGCCTATTAGTGATACCCTGTATTAATAATGAATGCTTATTACTTTGTGGTAAATTCTTCTCGTTGGCTCAATTGCTACTAATGCTTCTGGCGACAGAAACAAATACCAATTCGGACGTCTTCTGTCAAATATTATTCCCTCAATCACTTCATAAGCATCATATATTCCACCCCCCGCTCCTCATAAATTCTCATCTCGTGCTTTGAATTTCTATTCATCACTATCTACACCAGATGGCTAATGGTGCGGTCGTCTAAACAGGGTTTTCTGGACAGTGTGGATACACCGAAGGGGCTTGCGTGAGGATAAAGCGTGTTTCAACTATTCAGGAGACCGACCGCACCCCAATGGCCGTGTTTATATCGATAGATAACATACTTGAGTAAAGCCACCCACAATGACTTAAAGTATACAGGCAACGAGCCGTTATCAAGAACGGCCATCAAATCCAGCTCTTCATGCTACCGCACAAAACCCAAATTTCTTCTTGGTTGGCAAGAGCCTATCGTATCTTGGAGTTCCCAAGATGGGTGTTCATGCGAGGAGTCTATTAAGGTTGCGTGGTGGGGGAGTGCTTGTTTTGGGTTTGAAAGCTTAGCGGGTAGTGGGGTCATATGGCGTGAAGGGAGGCAACTCGAAACATTAGCCACACCTACCTTGCTTTTGGCGCAACCTTTCACGGGAGCGGTGCTAGGATCTTTTTGGTGTAATTTGCTGCGAATTAGAAACTCCAGCCTGGTGTTTCTGTACACTTTCGCTGGAGACGAAGTGAATTGTGACAATACTCACTCAATACTTTCTTAGGTACTTTTGCACTCTCCTGCCATGGATCCCCTAATAAATCTAGACTCTGACTTACGTCACAAAGGTTATCATCACATAATTTAGAACCAAAAAGACCAGAAATCCTAATTTCCTTTAATCGAGAGCGAGACGATGCTGTCACGTACTTCATTTGGTGGCTATCTGATGTGGTTGTGTTCAAGTAAAGTCACAGCAGAAGTATCAAAAGGTCTGTAAGCCCTTGAGATGTTTCCTGAGAATGTGTATCTTCAGATAAAGAGTAGGAGTGCTTTATTAGACTCTCAGCCGTCTGGGACCCCCTTTTTAGCGAAAACTTTTAGTTAGAAAACCATAGTACAAGTAAATCAGTGCTTTGTAAATCCTAGCTGGGCTCCCAAGGACTAGTCGTTTTGAACCTTTTTCTGAAACAGCGCGCAGAGATCTGTGCCATACTTACTGCTTCTCGTAAAAATCTCTCCAATCGGTTTTTTTTACTGCACAGATGATAGCCTTCATCTGATAAATTCAAGACGTTGGCGGGATTGGAAGCTTCTTTTCTTCCCTCTCGATCGTGTTCGTTCTTCCAATTTTGAAAATGAGACTATGCCGTCTAATGGCGATGTGTACGATGTTGTATTTCTGGACAGGCTTGTGCAGATTCCGGTACGCAAAATAAGGTAGGGGATTTGACTAGTACTAGTGAAGTGAACAACACGATAGTGACTCGTAGATGTTTTGATTTCTGCTTTTTGATAGTTGTAGATCTGAATAGATTGTTGAGTCTTTCTTTGCTCACTAGAATACCCGGCTCGCGCAGCTAGATTGTCCCCTATTCCAATCCTTTCCCGCAAAACAACAAGACGATATATAGAAAATCGACTTATTTGCTTCTTTCGATGGCCATGTTGACAAGATCAAGGTAATGAACTTGTCTCAGAAAGTTCTAAGCTAATTTACTTACAAACAAACGTCATTTTCAAATCCCTACTAAAGTCGACTTTTAGGGTTATTATAGAGTACTGCCTTCCTGGAACCTACCAAATAAACGTTGAATTAGTTTATAAGAACAACTAGTCAAAAGATTGATAGTTCTAGGCCTTAAAGGGGAAGTGTTAAATCCTGATATTGTTCATGTCTAGAGAACTCAGTAGTGTCTTTGTATTTTGCAATCGTGTACCACCAATCTGTGAGCTTCTGAAAGCTCAGGTCTTTGAAGGCAGTAATGAACATATTCACAAGCAGCGAAGTAAATTACGGAATGTTTGTGTTCCACAAAAGGGTAAAATATTTTTAAAGCCCATCTAAACTTCACGTCTAGTAAATTCTGTAGTTCCCAAAGTTCTAGTACATGATTATTCCAAGCTCCGACCTGATTTTATTGGATCCAGATTACGTTTGGGAATTATATCCCACCTAAATCCGCTTGTCTAAATATGTGATACCCAGTCCCAAAAACGCCCTGGTGAATGTAAAATCAGTGCCCATACGTAGTCTCTTACACCCCTCCCTTAACCTCCTCCTCCTTTACCTTGGAACCCTTGTTTCCCCCCGCTATCAAAACGGGCTCGCTATTCATCGCAATCACCGTCCTGCAAACCACCATAGTACTCGCAGCACATACCTCCTCCTCCCTCTTCGCTTGCTTGCCCCCACCACATAAAGGAGGTAGATAGCCAAGCTTACCAACCCCCTACAAAATAAGTGCTATAGGGAGGGTATAACCCCATAATATAGCCTTCTAAGCAAATTGAATTGTCGGATTCATACAGAGCTATATCAGTTCCCTTTTTGGGGTGGATTGTCCGAACTGTCCGGTCCCTTTAGCTAAGGGAAATTATCGGAGCTTTCCAAAAGAAACTGTATGGACTTTTCGGACCCTTGGCAGAAATCCAAGCTCCCAAGCCCCCCAGTCGATTTCTATTTACGAATAACCTCAAGTTTCAACTTACCCTACCCACTTTTACTTCCATACTTACTTCGTACCTTGGCAGCCAGTGACCAGTCTCGGGCGCGGATATCATGGATGGCAAAGCGGCCGGATTAGGGTTTGCTAAATGTGCTCTATTTAACGCGAATCATACCTATGTATACTCCGTATATTTACTGAATGTGAATATCTGATACACCGGGTTCGCTAGCAACCGGGGCCAAGTTATGAATTTAATATTAACTTTTACGGTATAGCTCCAGAAGTAGCTACCTGCCGATGTTCGAAGTATATCAGGAGGTTCTCTGATAGCAAGGTAAATTTAGATATCGTATGGGAATTGTCTTGTGTTGTTCGATACAATGGTGTCGTTATAATAGCCGATAATATAATAAATAGCATCGCGAAATGTATTCACAATGAGAACATATCGATGCAAATGTCTGCTAGTAAACACCAACATACGCATGACCTACTTTTATAGATCTTTATATTATAACTCAAGACTCCAGATTATTCTCTTCTCTCTTCGTCTTAGAGTTTCCATCTGTCTAGAAGTACCAACTAGTCCATCCAAATCCAGTAACTCACCTTCTTTCTAGCTATCCCCATTAACTAACTCCCTCTCTCTCTCTCCTCTCTCACTCACGCATTTACAGCCACAGAGCAGTTCAAAGAAGACACACGACGAACAAGATATTGGAGAAGTATCCAACCTAGCTCCCCTCTCGCTACATTTAAATCTCATCTATATGTATTAGAAATAAACAGTTTCCAGACGGACGGTCCTTCAGGATCCTTGGTATAATGGCAATCCAATCATATTACCAACAATCCCCTCTTTCTAGCTGTCTTACCTACCCTACCTAGTAAACATCCTCACGCCTCCCAACTAGCCTACTACATGTAACCAGGATAAAGCCTCATGATGAACAAACATCCTTCGTCACCCGAGGCTGTGTTCCTCTACTCCTCGCTAAAGAAAAAAGAAAACAACTTGAATAAAAAAACGGATACCGCGCTTAGAACGAAATCAAAAGAAAAAGAGAAAGACCTTGCTACTCCTTATTGAATTTGCCTTCTGCTATCTTTTATGCCTCGGTAGGAATTCAATTTCAGGAGATCAAGAAACACTTATACCCAGCCACTGGAACCCTCCTTTCCTTAAAACAAAAATATAAAACACATCCTAAAAAAGCGTGAAGTATATATCTCCCCTCTCCCCACTCGAGTAACTTCTAGAATCAACTAAATAAGTGAAAACATTCACAAATCACCATCACATCCCCCTCCCCCTCGTCCCCTCCCAGTCAAATTGCCACCAGACCCACCAGACCCACAAGAGCTCCAACCACACCACAGCTGAGCTGTCGCAGTCTGTGGCGCAGCACCTCCCCCATGGACCCCTAAACCCACCAATCACAGCAAATCGCACAGCAAGCTCTCCTAGATTGAACCTAAACCAAGGAAAGGAAAGTTAAAGGTTGTTAAACAAGTAACCATCCCTCATTTACAAATCTGAACTGTTATCTCTCGATTCACTACCTATCTACTCGTATGAGCAAGGAGAAAGCGAACATATTCAGAGTCTAAAGTAAGTGAACCCTACGCACAGTTGATTGTTTGGGTGGAAATTTGAAGTCTGCGACAACACAAAGCAAACAAACAAACAAGCAAGTGATTAAGAGAGGACAAGCTCAAGCTCTGACATCACACCACATAGCTCCGTACTTATCTATCTACAACCTCCAACATCCAACTTCCTCACCACCACCATCAACTACAGCAACTCGTACGTCCCTCCCCTCTCCCCCTCTCCCTCTTCCTCCTCTCCCCCTTCCCATCTCACACCTCTCCCCCTTTCCCCCTCCCCCCATCACTCTTCCC